ATAGATTGATATATTTATTTGTTTCAGAAGCGTGCAAGTACCCAAATATTCAAAAATATCACTGTGACTACGAGGGGGCATAGCGGCAGTGATAAATAGACTGTATTTTGTCAACTTTCGTCCAAATTGGGAATTATTGCCTGAATTATAGACCGCCTTTTACACCGCCTAATACCACGTACTGTAGTACACTAACCTCTCTACCTATATGCATTTTCACTACTCCGAACTTTCATCGCTATGCCTGCTTATATTAATATTGATCCTTACAAAGACGAGATCCTCGATCTCACTACGCATGACGATATTAGGGTAGTAGGTAAGTAGTAGTTGATAGTAAGAAGAAGGCGTGGATGGAGTGAGAGGAAGAGAATGGAGAGAGAGGAATCAAAAGTCAACCACCCAAAAAAGGGGTGATGTATGGATTTGTATGGCAGGAAAAGCTTCGTTTTTGGAGTGATATTTTAGCCTAAGGTAACTAGGAATTGAGATAACTAGTTATCTAGCTTACGAATAAACCTGTAATAGTAATTCAGGTATTTTAGTTTTCTGCCAGTCCAAAATCAGGCACCAATGACAAAATACAGTCTATTTATCACTGGCCGCTAACTATGCCCCTTCGTACTGTGACATCAAAAAGGGTTCTCCCTTGATGGGGTCAATTTAACCGCAAGGGACAATTTATACCAGATGGCCCATACATAATGTTTTGCAGAGAACCAGCCCTTACTATCAGCACATAGTTCGAAATCAAAATGCAAGACCGCCTTTTAAAGTATCCAAGGCATCATATAATGAACCCTTTTTGTATTTTCAAGAATTAAATTAACACCAGGTCAAACACATTTCGATCATTCAGAGCTAAATGAGTGGGCTGACTGTCTACCAGTTCAATCGCTACTACCAGTATAGGACGGTCTCCATGCATCCCTGTCATCTTTCGAGAATACATTGTCTGTCTCCGAAGAATACCAACGTTGGGAAAGGAAAGAGCCCAGATCAAGGAAGTTACCACACGACTAGGGCCATCAGGTACAACTGGATAGACCCGAAAATTTCCGTTGATAGATGCATTGAGTAATTTCATGTCGCTCATTGAGCCATATTGGCATCTTTTCGTTGCACAACATGATTATGTGAGAGCTTGGGACCTGGGTGCTGCACTCGGCTGGCCCTTTGGGGCAGTTTCCCTCTTTTCTTCTCACGCATGCTGCAGTTTTTACTGTCGGCACAATGTTAATCATTTGCATCTGAGTTTAATCCTCCTTAATTAGGACTGTTGGGGTTACCTCACACAAAGGAGTGCTATCTATAAACAGCACACCGAGAGCGCCTTCACTCAATTGTAAGGTCTCATAGCATCTATAGCCTCTGGCGGAAGGCGGCATATGATCGTCTCACATCGTAAAGTTAAGGGTAAAACTTGTTTTCGTCACTACAGTTGACGACCACATTACGGCAGGCTTTAGTAGTCATTGCGCTAGTCCACATAATTTATACCCTTCTTTTACCGCCTTAACTAGGCCTACATGGCTCCTCGGCCTCTCACACAGCCCTCATTTCTCTTTTTATATCTTATGGGCTTCATGGTACAGTCAAAATGTCAGCCTGGATTAATCTTGATCTATTTGAGGATGGTATTTGAATCAGGAAACTCCCGTGGCAACTAATTAAGATTTGATTTAGCCTTTATAGTGATACCAAGAAGGTTTTCATTAACAAAAGTCTATGTGGATAGATGACTAGGTAGCGCCACCCCAAGAGGGCCCGGCCCCGATTGTGTTTAGGCTCACTAATTTTTGCCAGTCAAAACCTGTACCACCCAGGATGGAAAAAATAAAGTTGATCAGAACACTGAATTGGCCGCCCATCTCTGGACAAGCTTCAAGCATGGTTACATTTCCTTCCATTTGAATTCCAGCGGGTATGGCCTGGAATATTCCCTGTGATGGATATGCCCATGAAATCCAAGGGGTCCTTCCTCTCGGAGTATAAATGCGTTGGTAGTAGTCTACTTGTCTCTGTGGGGTTTTCGACGTCCATAATTTTTGATTTTGGTCTGATTGATTTCGCGATCTCCTCTGCCCTCCTGGGTCCACACATGCAATTTTGGGGCTGAAGTCGAATTGAGCGAGAGTTGTTGCCATCTCAGGCATCGAAGCTTTCTATCTAGCTCAGATCTATCTCGTACCTATTTTGACTGTATTTCGGTATTCTTCCTCTTACTTTTGTTGCTGCTATTATTGAACTTATGAGATCTCAACCACAGGAAGTACCTGTATATGTGACAATTTATACGGTCATACTATATGCTATAACTTAAGCCATATTGGATCCAAGAAAGCCACAAATGAATGACAATTGATAAAATCTCTATGTAGCTACATTGAGGTGTTGGAGAGTGAAACGTGAAACTGAAAGGTTTCAGCAATGGTATACAGTGAGGATTCGCTGGTGGTCACCCGAATACTAAGTCGCCAGCGTGTGGATTATATATGGCCAATAGCTCGGTGGGTGTTGCCAGGGTGAGATTTAGGTGAGAGGGGTGGGTCACATAGACAGAGTGAGAAGCCGGGTAAGAAATCACATTCTTCGCGCGACCACTGCACTGACCTTCTAAGCCGAGCTAGGATTCAATATCATTGGACGAACTACTCTGTACTGCCTCCTGGACGCTCATCCTCTTGGCATCAATTTGAGTATTCTAGCTTCATATTACCCTCCCGGAATCCCGACTTATCAATCACCAACCGCCTCACAAATTAGATGCCAATTTGACACCATGGCAACATTGGATATTGGCTATTTGTGTTCCATGGATGTACTTAGTGGGGATCCGCCAAGCTCGATTGCACCGTGTCGTTTCCCTTATTACGCGGGAGATAAGATCTTAGGGTCAGTCTCTATTGGATCCGAGATTGACGTGATTCGACTCGTTGGATATATATTTATAGGTCAGTCGAATTTACGTTAAGCCATCTACTCGGTACTAAGAAGGTCACTTATTCTAGGATTGGGCGAAGAATCAATAACACTACTGAATGGGAAGACTGCCTATCGGTTTCAGACTATTTAATTTCTAATAAACGACATATATCTTCCGCCGGGAAATATAATAGCTTTAAGTTTGTGTTTAATTCCCCTGATCGTCTGTCTGAAGCTTCCTATAGCCAAAGCCTTTGACGTTTATGTTGAGGACGTTGATGGCGAGAACGGTCGATGAGGGGGTAAGGACGATTATCTATGCGGCTGTTGTTGCCGGGCAAGAGAGCCATGGAAAGTTCTTGTAGAGTAGCAAGGTAGATCCGTAAGTGCGTTCCCCCTGAAGTGAATACTCGATAACGCTAATGATTACTCTAGCGGGGCACCCATCTTCTAGAAGAAAGCCGGACAGACCTTTGTCGAGAGATTGTGGAAGGACACTATCACAGAGGCTAGCCGGTATGATGCCGAGCTACAGAGCTTCACTTGACTTCAAGTTAAAATATCTGATTCGGAAATGCTTAATCCCCAACGTTTCCATTCTGTTATTATGCTCCGCCTTCCATCAGTTACAATGGCTGTATGTAGGGCAGGTCGCAGCATTGATACACATCTACGAAGCATCTGAAGTTATATATATATATATGCTTACCAGCTTCTTAGTATAATAGAGTAGGACAAATTTAAAAGTATTGAGTAGCGAGGCGCAATGATCTCTTCATAAAGAGCAAAAAACAATGAGGATGAATGGTATAGATATAAGCTATTTCCGATTTGGACTAGCTTATTTTGGAGCCAAGGCTGACTTGCCAGTGGGTCCCTCCCGAGGTCCACTTTAATTAACTGGAGATGATACCTCTGATTGGTTTGAAATGTTAAATCAAAAGGAACCTTGGAAGTAACCTTGGAAACGAATAAGCACTAAAATCTCACTGTCGTTTGTGCAAGTCTAAGCCAGTCATGATTGTATCTTCCTGAGGTCATAACCTCCTGGCCTTGATCTTCGCTCTGGCTATCTTGGGCCCCGAAGTTTGGAGATCATGACGGAGCCACAAACCATTTCTCGTACTCGCCCTTCATTTACGTCTCTGCCCTGTAAGCGACGAAAAGTATGATCTTCATGAATCGAAAATCCTCTTAATCTGATTTGGTGAAGATTAAATGTGAGAAACAACGCCTCGCTTGCCGCGAATGTCGTCGACTGAATGATATATGCGTCTATCCGCCGTCACTACCTCCGATCAACCCAAATCCGAATATTCGCCCGAAGAAACATTCAGATCGATCATTATGCATATGCCTTTCCCTTGCCCACACCTTTAAATAACAATGACAGCATTGCGGAAAATACCCCCGATAACAATGAAATCAACAGTGATACGCATCCTAGAGGTAAATCCAGATATGAGATGGTATGGGCATCAGACACTCTTGACTTGCTGGACGACTCGATGCTGTCGCTGACTGACCATCTTGTCAACTTCCCTGCATGGCCCGCCTCCGCCCTGTCTACCGGCTTCATCTCCAACTGATTGGACCGATGTCTTTAATATATAGACTAGACACCCTTTAGAATATCATCTTCTGTACAAATCTATTTAAGCATGAGATACCGAATTCCATTGTATCCTACCAACCTATCAAATACTAACAGATTCAGAACAAGGTCGAGGTTTCTTACTAGGATGCGGGGAAAGTTGTATTATCCACTTTCCCATCGGAAGTGTCCAGATAGAAGATTATGAAACTTGAATAGATAGGGGATGTAGCCCCATATGCCTACAACATACGGGTGGTTAGGTTACCACAAAAGTAGCGCCCGACACCTTGGCAAATTGGCGCTATCAGCTAACACTGATTGGCCCAATAAATGACCTGATGGATCGTTTCCACGCCCTGGGGATGATTTCCCCACATGGCTTTATTTATATTTGACGCCTGTTTAATCCCTATTCGCACACTTTTCATCTTCAAGACCATTTCTCATTGTTCTTTGGTCGTCAATCCAGCCTCTGAGAATGGAGGAAGTAACGGGTTCACACTCGACAAACGAGACCGAAAAGGGGGTGCTGACTACGCTGGAGGGGACGATTGAGGGCATTAACGTGTCGAATGTTCACTATGACACGCAACTCCCGCCTATGGATGGCGGAATGAATGCATGGCTGTTCCTCGCTGCGTGCTTTGTTATGGAGGCTCTCGTATGGGGTTTTGCCTTCACCTACGGTGTTTTCCAAGCGTATTACAGCGACATCCCCCAATTCAAAGACTCTGGTAATATCGCTGTCGTTGGAACCTGCGCTATGGTAAAAAATTGAATATCCCCTATTCCAACTCAACCCGAGCTGACCTATTTACGCTAGGGAATCATGTATCTCGACCTGCCTCTTGTCTTCGCCGCCTACAGGCAATGGCCCAAATATCAACGCTTCGGCTGTGGCCTAGGTGTGCTATTAATGTGTGCCGCTCTCGGCCTGAGCTCCCTCGCCACAAACACCAACCACCTCATCATAACTCAAGGAATCTTCTATGCGCTCGGCGGCAGCATCGCCTATGCTCCCTGTATTCTCTTAATGGAAGAGTGGTTCGACCGACGAAAGGGCCTCGCCTTCGGTGTCATGTGGGCCGGCACCGGAATCGGCGGTGTCGTCCTCCCTATTGTCATGGAACAGCTTCTGGGCAAGTACGGGTTCCGAATCAGCTTGCGTGGTTTTGCAGTCGTGCTGTTCATACTCACCGCGCCGCTGGTCTACTTCGTCAAACCTCGCGTGCCGATCGCAGATAACCAACCCAGTCCGCCACCCCCGAACTTTCGGTTCATGTTTACATCCACCTTTGCCCTCTTCGAGTTTTGTAATACTGTTGAGGCTCTCGGGTTTTTCTTGCCATCTATCTACCTCCCGACTTACGCAGGCATGATTGGCGCCTCCAGCTCCCTCCAAGCACTGACTGTTATTCTCTTCAACTTGGCTTCCGTCGTCGGCTGCGTGCTTATGGGCGCCATCATCGACAAACTCGATGTGACACTTTGCATTCTCGTTTCAACTATCGGATCCTCTATCGGCGTCTTCCTTATTTGGGGCTTCTCCATGTCCCTCTCTCCTCTGTTCATCTTCTCAATCGTATACGGACTCTTCGCAGGATCGTATACCAGTACTTGGCCTGGTATTATGCGTGAGGTAGTCCGCAAAAAGCCCTCCGCTGAATCAAGCATGGTCTTTGCTTGTCTTGCAGCCGGAAGAGGCGTCGGGAATTTGGTTTCCGGGCCCCTTAGTGAAGCTTTAATTCATGGCAAGCCATGGGAGGGGGACGCCAGGTATGGATATGGGAGTGGATATGGATCCCTGATTGTTTTCACTGGTGTCACAGGCATCGTGGGTGGTGGAAGTTATATTGCGAGGCGTATGAAGTGGTTGTAAACTTTGCCACGCTACTCTTTAGGGCCTACGGTGCTGGTGAATATTGGTGGATTATCCGACACTCGATAAGAAATAAAAGTCTGTATATTTGCTGTGCACAGTATTAAACTGTTCTACAAAACAAAATGCAGCCCAAACTCTTCTCAGCCTGGTTCCTTGACAATTTGAACCATCGCAACAGGGATTATGGGGCGTAATCCAGCACTACAGGTCCTCCAGTAAGAATCCTAAACAAGCTTCCGAACCACTGCTACCCTGAAGATAACAATATGGACTTGACAACCCAAGTACCAAGTCTCACCCAATTTAAATAACCGTCAGGCTGCCCCTGTTGAAGTTTCATTTCTGACTGCTTAATCACAGAGATGAAGCGAGACAGATCGCCATTTTGGTGTATCCACGTATTTAGTCCTGACCAAAACCTCCGTCGCCAAAACGGCCTTGTCAAAGATGTCAATCTTCTTATGTCCTATACTTGTTCCATTTGAAACAAGCTTGAAAGGTACATCCGCGGTACTATCAGCATCTTGACTCTCAACGATCTTCGCATGCACCTGGTATGACCGAATCGGCGGGGGAAAAAATAGATCAACCAGAAGTCTACGTCTTCCCGATACAAGTCAATTCGCCCCACTCATTTTCAACAATCTCCATTGATCATATTGTGATGTTTTTTTTCCAAACATGTACGGGCCTAGCAAATCCCTCCTCGTCCCTCTCAACTTGCATTATCCTCTCAAACCCCTGCGCTTTCAACTCATCCTCAAAGGGTGGCCTGATCTGGATCGTCTTATACGTCTCTCTCAATTCTTTATTCTTCTTTGAGGCTTTCGCATAATTGCTCATAGGCTGCGGCTCCACGACGAGATAACCCCCATCATTCAGTATGCTTTTTATGTGCGCAAATAGTGTCAACATCCCAGAGTCCCCGTTGTTGAGATGTATCCACTTGGTCACAGAGAGTAGTAGGACAACGTCGAATTTTCCCAGCGCTGTACCCGTGTACGCGGACGCATCCACGAAATCAAAGTGCTCAAATGTGCACGGCCCGTCCGGGTACGCCGCCTTCGCCTGCTCGATCAACCACGGGTCAATATCGACGCCGACTGAGGCGGCCGCGCCGCAGTGCGCTATCGCCTCATGGGTCAGTTTCCCCGCGTTGCAGCCAAGGTCTATGACTCGCGCGTTGCGGAGGATATCTGATGGGAGAATGGAAAGGCGCTCGTCCGGAACGGTGGGCGCCCGGAACTTGGCGTAATATTGGTGGTAGTTGCCATGGCGCGCGGCGAGGTGCGTAGCTTTGAAGCGCTCTGCTTTGGAAAGTCCTGTTGCAGGTGAGGGATCGTGATGGCATGGTTCTGCCATACTTGGAGATTGGCGAGCAGAGAGGCCTGTGTGGGTAATGAGATTGATTATGTCAAAAGAAAAATGTCTAATAACTAGTGTGACTAACGTTAAGTTTTAGCACACCAGATAGGCCATATACTAGGAGTTATAGGTCTCGAAATTTTGCGCTCAATGCCAAATTTGTTGCGAGTTTGTAGGGTTTGCATAATATTGGTGCCTGAGGCACTAATTGCTTGACAGATCCTATCCACAATATGACGTCAGTTTTGCTTACTGTTTTTTTCCCGCGTCTTCGCTACTTCTGCCTTATTGATAATCCCTGAAGGGCCATCAGACAGGCAGACAAGTCTTAGGAGGAAATAAGCCATCGCGCCCCTCAGCCGGTACAGTCGTACAGCCAGCCTCCCCCACTGCTTATTCCAACCTCTAGCAAACGACAACTAGCTTATCAGGATCAGCACTCGCAACCCCAAATCTACTGGCGGTCTAATCTATATCCTCTGACGATATAATGAAGCACAATATCTTGTATTGTGTCAGCTGTCGAAACTACGTAGAGGGGGGGATTGATGATGGACTGTGAGAGTCGAGGTAGAAGTATGGGACAGGCAGTCATGTGACCATTGAGACCATTCAACAGCTCCTCTACCGTTGATGAATTCACATAATTAAGGTGGGGGCCAGTCGTGAAAGGTTTTTCGTCCAACGCGACGAGCCTTGCTGGGACCATATCGCAGGAAGTGCCTCAATGCCTGCAGATATGTTCTGGAACTTGATCTTCGCAAAGATACGTTTCATCCGATTAACAAAAAATATTCGATGCTCCGGGTCTGTACTATCTGCCGCCGCAATAAAGCAGACCCACACAATGGCATGGGAGCCCATCTGATTGGGTTCGATCTTAGAAATCAACTGCTTCAAACTCTCCAAGAGCTGCCACTGGTCATGATCAGACGCCACTCGGCCGAGATAGATCTCAGAAGCTTTGATGAAAGCCATTCTCGAGAGATGGAGCACATCGCTGTGTTCAGAATCCGAAGGGAGGTCATAATATGTCCAGTCGAGGTAGTTCTCAAGTGGAAAGCTTAATACATTCACACCTTGGTTTTCGCTGAGCAGAGGTTGACCAAGAAATTCAAACCTAAGATCACAGTCAGATATGGTCAGAATGGGTCAAAGAAGAACACCATATGGTACCCACATGTGAGTCTGTTGACTTAGAAAACGACACGCAGAAGAGGGCGCGATTTGATCAGCATTTTGTACTAAACACATCAAGGTCCGCAGAAGGTGGCCATATTCCGAGCTGCCTGTGATAGTCTCTCCAACTAGCAGAACAATCAGAGTTGCCCACGTAGAGGTGTTGAACACCCGATCCGGAGACGTTGAATCTCGACACAACCGTGATATCAGTGCGGCTCGCCCCCGATCGGCAATTGATTGATAGAAAGGGTTATTTAAGGCCAAATGCTGTGCTGCTACCACGCCGACAGCGCATTGCACGAGTTCATCCTCGCACGCTAGGGGCAGTAGAATATCCCGATAGCCATTGGAGACCTGATCTAGGACAACCATCACAGGAGCGACTTGCTCTGAGACTACTGTTTGTTAGTAGATATATATCCTCACTGGCTAAAGAAAGAGCTTACAGTGCGACATCAACATGCGGGTCTGAGAATTCAAAGGGGCAAGCCACCGGTGGATTGACCCTACCACAGAAGTAAGTCTCTTATCGGAAGGGCGATCGACATATCCATCGATGACATCGAGGTCATTTTGATGCAGATCCAAGGTTTCAGCACATGTAGGTATTGTGTCCCGTTTGCTCGGAGTGGGGGAATTTTTTGTTTGGCTTGTGCTTGAACCAGTCGCTGCGCGTGTCTCGTTTTTCCTTCTGGTACGCACCGGCTGGTCGTTTTTCCACCTGATTTTACGTGGCGCTGGCGTAGCCTGTGCATTGCCTTCTAGCGCCAGCTCGGGCGGTGGGTCTACCACTGGAATGGTGCATCCTTTTAATCGGCCACGTTGGGCGACACCGGTGGAAAAGCGAATTCGACCAGGGCCGGAACACTCGATTCCCTTCTTCTGACATTTCTTGCACGTAGGCTCTGCATTGTCACAGATAATACGGCGCTTCGAACATTGAAAGCAGCCTATGGGTAACGTGGAATGTGTTAAAATCCTTTTCCAGGGGGCTAGGAGATAGAGACTCACCCCTGATTTTGCCGCCAGGGGAAGACATCTGAGATATGGGAAGATCACATACGGGGGATTAGAGGATGAAGAAGAGATGTGAGAAGGGAAGCTTGTCGATGAGCATATCGTTGTTGGGCGGGGCTCTTACCGAGGAAGATCGGATTGGTGACTAAAAGCCTAATCGCCCCTTGACCATACTGGATACTGTCTGTTTTGTTGTTGTTTTTTTCTTTCTTTTTCAAATTGGACAAGATCTTAAATTGTGCTAATAGCTAAATCTCCTCATCGCTTAACTGGAGCCGAGGCCCATTGTACTTCCGCCGAGCACAAATTCCCCAGTTGATTCCAGCAAATACAGCCATAACCGCTAGTACAGCAGATGTGTAGTCTGCAATTATCTAGTCAGCTATATTATCCCTGGGTAGAGGTTATGTTATGTAACTTACTCATGTTGCTTCCAGTCACCGGGAGAACAGTCGGAAGGTCGTAGAAAATCAGAACAAGAATCGCAAATCCAATTGTGATGGCATTTACACTCCACCCTACCATCGACGGTAGTCGAAAGGCTCGATATCGAGGCAACCACGTCTCAGAGCGCTTGCGATACATGAGAAGTGCAGCTGGAATCGCATATGAGATGTGCTGGAGCACCAGACCACTGCCAATAAACGCATTAAAGGCAGATGAAGAACCCAAGTAAATACATCCGATGATGAACATGATTACAAAGTTGAAGAAGAGACCCCATACTGGTACTTCGAACTTGGGATGTATTTTGCTGAGCCATTTGCTGCCGATAATAGCATGGTCTCTAGCCAGTGACCATGTCAGGCGAGAAGCGGTTTGTTGAGCACCGATGAGGGCGAATACGGCGGCGCAGCAAAGTAAAACGACGAATACTGTAGCGGCTACGCCCGAGCGCGTAGCCTGATACCACATCTCGAAAATAGGAACCCTTGATGTTGATTAGCGCGATGGAAGCGCAAATATAGCTTTGAAAAGAAGGGAATGCAGACATACCCGGTAGTAGATGCCACCACGGCATTCAAATCGTTGGTGCAGTATAGCATGGCGACCATGAAAGTGAATGATGAGACGAACCCAATAAGCAATGTACTCATCAATGCCCGAGGTACCACTGTGCTCGCATTTTGGCATTCCTCAGCCAAGTGCAATGCACCGTCGATGCCAGCGTACATATAGTTAGGTGTGACAAGACCAGTCAAGAAGGCAACCCCTCCAGAACTCCAGCCACTATCATTGACGAAGGTTCCCCAAACATTGATGGAGGGTTGGTAGTTGGAAGATGACCGAGCGAGGCATGTAATGGTAATGACAAAGAAGCTGGCAAGGGTCGCAAAGACTGAAATCGTCAAAGCCTGCTCGTTTGAAATGGGGGGGGCGGGTACTCACAAGCAATATCGTGAATCCAAAGTGATCTTTTCAACAATATTATATTGTATAATAATACAAGTCCGTTTATGGCTTGGTAGATCAGGAAATAATGCCATGCCTGTGGGGTGTAATCTGGATTGTAGAATAGGGCGATGCCAACAATAAGTTGTGCGGGGATAATAGCAATGCCGGTGCAAATGGCTATCCACGAGAACATGTTTGTCATGCCACAGCAATAACTCTATCTAGTCAGCAAAAGAAAAGTTGAGATTCCTTTCCCTTTGTAATGGCTTACCAAGGCACGATTGATGGACTTGGGAGCCAAGATAGAAGTCCAGTGGTATTGTCCACCCGCAGTGGGATAAACACTAGCCAGCTCAGCCAGAGTAAGAGCACAAGCACCAATCAAAATGAGAGTGAGAATCGGTCCGTAAACCAAAGTAACCGGGCCGCCTTGGGAAATTGCAAGAGATACTGTGCCCGCCATTCCAGCCCAGCTGTCGCATATAACCCAACTTGCTGATATAGTCTCTAACTTTGTCATTTGTCTCGTCCCACCTCCTTGCAGACTGAGATCTTTGAGCTTGATTTTCTCGACATCGCCTTCTCCATGAGTGATCTCTACGATATCATGAGCGAAATTCGTTGTGGGGGAACAGGTTGAATGAGAATGCAACTCACGTCTTTCGAAATCATGGGAAGCTGCAAGCAAAAGTGACTCGTCAGTAAAAAGGGATAAATAGGTAGGGTTCAAAGGATTAGAGTACATACTATATTTGCCTTTTAGCTCTTCTATGTCCATGTTGGGTGATTTGTCCTTGTCAATAAACTTAAGATATTGATGAAGGCTGTTGAGAGAGCACATTCGAGTTCTTAAGAATGATTGAGTGTTCATAAGCTAATCGTGAACACAGCAAGAATAGATAATGTTCCTCATAGTTCGGCATATAACGATAAGAGATGTGCGGGGAAATACCAGTATTGCCGAAAGGGGAAAGAAATGAGAGAAACGGCTTGATAGCGGTGGCAAAGACCCAGAATAAGATAACCAAGCGAATTGAAGTACGAACTACCTTTCCCTACGTATCCCGAAGATTCTCAGATAGGGTGCCTCTAAACTAACACGAAAATTGTGGACATCAATCATTGAAAAAGCCTATCTTCACAAGATATGAGTCTTCACAAGATATTGGTCTGTAATGTCTTTTACGTGATTCTTTCCACTGCCAACTAGATAGAAATCGGACGAAATCGTCTAGGCCATGGAAACTTCACATGGTAGTTAAGCTAGTGCAAACTACTGAGTCTATTCAATGCAAGTTGTATTTTCAAGATATTAGCGCAACATAAGTTTACTTAAGCTTTAGTTTGTACCTTTGGAATAAAAACTACAATAGGAACGAAATAATGTCAAGACACAGGATGTAACCCATTTATATTATGTATATATATTGCTATCTATAGATAAGAACGCAGAGCAGGAGCAGGTCGAAGATCCTCCATCACCGTCATAGCCGCGCGTGTGCCCTCTTCGATAGCACCGTCAATGAAGCTTCGCCAGCCAATAGCCCAATCAGAGCTTGCGAAAACAACGTTTCCATGTCGAGCCCGCATCGCATCCAATGAAGTGGACAGAAGCCGAGGAGGCGAGAAGAACCAGGCACCCTTGGCAAACTCATCTTTGCTCCAATTATGAAAAACCAATCGCTTAATATCCATATTCCCCGGAGCCATGTTCTCTACGGCCTTTTTGGTTTCGTTGATATCTTCCTCGGGATGGATGTGGTTGCTAGAGCCGCCGAAGCAGACGATGTGGGTGTTCCCTGAGGGTGTAGTTCCATCACCAATGGCATATATAAGCTTGTTAAAGGGGTAGGAGATTCCAGTCCATGAACGCATGTCCTTGCTGGAAACCTCGGCATGCACCTTCACACATTGGTTGACATGACCGATATTTGTGGCTGTCGCTCGCTGGGGACTCAGAGGAGGATCGAAAGACACGGAGTTGAGAACGTTGAGAGGAATAGTAGAGACCAGACGAGCACCGGTATACTGGCGACCATCACGAGTGGTAAGAGTGACTTCGTCGCCCTGATCGTTGATTGAGCTGACAGGTGCGTTGAATACATACGAGAGTCTTCCAGTGGCAAGTGCCTCTTTGAAGAACTTGATTGCAAAACTCGATTGGCCTTTTTTGAATTTGTACGAGATCAAGGAGTCCATGCAGCCACGGTAGGAGTAGCCGCACAGAGCCCACCAATGAAGGAATTCAAAGAAGCTGGTTGTTTCCAATGTCCCACAGCTGCAAAGAAGAATGAAACTCTCAAGAGATGCACGTTCGTTTGGAGTAAGAGACAAAGCAATGGTGTTGACCCGGTCCTGTGCGGACATTTCATCGTAACGGCGAGCTTCGGGGACAAAGAACGCGTCGTGGGCGTAAGGAATAACTTTCCTGCCCATATCACCATCGACATTGACAAACTTCTCCAGGCCAGCGGCAAGTATAGTATCCTAATGTAGAAAGTCAGCCACCGTCCCAGGTACACCTAGTACTCAAAAAGACGAACCTCTTCTTCGTGACTCATTATTGAAGTACCATGGGTTGTGCGCAACTGGAAGTGGTTTACTCCACGAGAGAAATCAAACGATTCCTCCAGCTCGGTTCGCATGTTGTATCGCGAGATCTCACGCCAAACGTGAGGCTGACCCCAGTGCACCCAAGTCCCACCCATCTCAAACGGATAATCGCCAATGTTGGAGGACCAAGAACGTCCACCAATCCGATCCCGGGCCTCAACCAGGAGAACGCGAAGGCCTGTCTCATTTAGCAAAAGCTTTTACGAATCAAATCGAGATGTAGAGATAACGCACCGGCAACGGTCAAGTCACGAGTGGCCGTGAGACCAGAATATCCACCTCCGACAACGATAACATCATATTTTTCTGGGGAAGACGAGATTTTCGTAGAAGGCGAAATGACACCAATTGAAGGCACGCCTTGTGCGAGGCCAGTTTCAGGCGTCCATTGGAATCCGTCGCGGGAAGTCATTATGATGATAGCTGGCGTAGTGACCTGGGGAATAAAAGTACAAACAAAAAGTGGAAGGTAGAGGAGAACTTGTCCCTGTTTTAAACACTTCCGAAGTTCTGAGAAAGGGATGATCTCTGATTATAAGGTCCATCATGGTATGGTCTTGGAATCAATCGTAGATCGCGATAAGAACGGGGATAGAAGAAATACTGAAAAGAGCTAAAAAAGAGAGATCCCTATCCTCCATAAGAGTGTAGCGGGGCAAATTATATTCTATCTGGTTCCGAGGATAATTGCAAGCCGAGTTATATATGCGAGGGTTAATTGAAGCTGCAGATTGTGAAATTACTCGATTAGGACAGTAAAGCGAGAAACTAATCGTAGCCGAAGAACAATTGAGGCTACACTTTATCCAGCGACAACCGCTAGGCCGCTTTAGGTATGTCTTCCGCCATTCCCCTGTATTCCTAACAACCCATGAATTTATTGTCTAGTAAAACTTGGAGAGTTTGAGATTCCTGGGATTCGCTGCAGTTGTAGGCCGTCACCAAATTTATGACTGCTTTTCCTGACTGACATTATCTCATAGACTTTTCCAATCTACCTTTCAGTCGGATATACAACTATCCGATCCAAATCCGCACCCTTGTAATCAAAGCCATTATACAGCCCGCCGACTGTAATAGTATTCTTCTTCCCCTTGTTCAGTGTCAGCTGCAGCGGAGTGGAGAGAATGACACCTTTGTGGGTATCTCGTTGGTATAGAGTTTGTATGCTCGAAGGGTCTCCGTTGACCATCACGCTGCTAATCCGACGCAATTGCCATGAGCCGCCGATCCTGTCCGGGGTACCTCCAGCTATTGAATGTATTAGAATATCAGCACTATACCTTACTTCTAATCAATAACCAGAAGTGTATGTACTTACGTTGGTCACCGAAGCCCAAATCGTCAGTGTCTAATAATAATATTAGTATCGTATAGGAAGATGGAAATTAAAAACTACAGACATACTTTGATAGTAGAATGACACCCATTGAGGTTTTCCAGATCCCTCAATATTTTCAAAAGTAACGGTGCTGTGGTTTCCATATATTCCAGTGAGAATAACGCCGTCGGTAGCAAAGTTCTTTCAGCATATCGTATTAGCCAAAGATAGTCGGGTGTCTGAAATGATACAGCTGTACTCACTGCCTCTTGCTTATATGTATCACCGTGCGTCTTCGCCTTTTTTGCGGTGTATGCTTTTCCCTTGACAGGTTTCCAGTCCCCGGTTTTCCTAGTATTGAGTTAGTATGGATGTCATAGTAAAAAGAAAAGACAGCACACATACACATCAAGATCATAAACATCGTGCCACTCTAGCTCTAAAGTCTTCTTAGACTCATCGGTCTGAATTGGCAACCAGATGTAGCGACTGTCCCAGACAGAATTGGAGTCCCATTGGTCTCCAATGTATAGGTGGGTCGTCTTTTTCGTCCCCTCAATTCTGAGCGTGTATCCAGACTGTGAGTTAAAAGTCCGCGTGTTTAACGGTGCAATGATAAACGGCTGTGACCAGGGACCGCTTAGTGAGTCGGCCCGGAATGCCACCACATCTGAAACGTTAGTCAAGCAATCCTTACATGACGGTAAAGTGTACCTCTTACTGTTTGGCCTATATCCCGTCTTATGGCTCATAAGTGCCCAATAGCTCTTCTCTGTCTGCACAATAGTGGGAGCCTCAAGATCAAATTTTGGGAATCGATACACGACCTTTTCGAGCGCCGTGAGATTGCTGTTTATGCTTGAGAGATACACATCTCGTCCCTCTCGACTATCTCCGTTCGAGTAAAGGGCATAGGATCGGCCGTCCTTGTAGTCGGTGAACAATCCGAAATCCTGGGACCAGTTTCCAAGTGGCGCTGTTGCGTCAACGAAAGTATACGGCCCGCCAATCGTGGAGGACACGGCGTGGCCTTGGAGAAGGAGCCCGTAGGTGGAGTTGTCTGCATGCCACCACATCTGTTCAATCAGTTTTGGGATGCAAATTTTGAGAGCTGTCCGCATGCATACATGATAATCCTCAGTCTCGGGGCTGTAGGCCACCTTAGGTCGTTGAATCACGCCACCGGGAGCGATATATGGGTGTCCCTTGATTGGAGCTGTACATGTTAGGATATCGACCTATCTCCAGCACGGTCATGGAGCGTTACCTAGGGCCAGTCCCCCCGATTTCCAGGTACTCAAATCCTCCGAACTATAAACAGAGACACCTCCGCCTTCCGGCTCATCTTCTGTCTTATGTTCGCCGAACCACCAGAAGCGGCCAGACTTCTGGTCGAAGGTGATCCCGGCACCATGCGCATTAATGAAGTTACCATCTGTGTCGTGCCATCTACCTCCGGGGACAATGTATTTACTTTTTGCTGAGACAGCTAAAAGGGTAGCCAGACAGGCTGATAACAGTCTCATGTTGATGGAGTCGTGCAAATTGGCTTCCTTTAGGTGTTAGGACCTACGTCTATTTTTCGAGTCAGAATCAATTTATAGCATCATCTACCTACATACATAGCTGTCGGTCTCTATTGTACCGACATTGCGGGGTAAAAAAAATATAAAACAGACCTTGTTTTCTTCATCTTGGCATAAATATTACTAGTAGTTTGGCCCTCAATACATCCTATACTTATGATATTTGTCATCACTTTTTTGCGTCTCACAAGTAAATACGTAGTTAGACGCCAATCTAATCCACATGTGCATCTAGGTTTGTCATTCATATTATAATCCCAGTGTCATGCAAAGAATTGTTGCCAATACGGGAAAATGCCTCCAAATGCCAAGCATCCCCGTAATCTCATCCCCGTAATAAAGCAATAAAGCTCCAATGGTGCCGACATTTTATTGGATGCACCGAGGACGCTAGCGGGCGACGGAAGGTGATTATCCGTCTATTGCATGAGAATGACCTTAGCACTAAAGACTGGCCCACGAGTAAATGATATTTTTTGAGGCCAAGCCGCTCAAGCTAGTGGACAGTTACACCTCCATTCTTTGGGAACCATCGATATGATCGTAGGTATTTAATGGCGAAGGCAGTGAGACGAAAATATTCTCTATCGATAAATCCATAAGAAAGAGAGATATCCCTGATCAAAAGACAACCTATGTGTCTGCGTTTTATTTGTGGGCCGGTTTCTCTTATAATTGCAAATGACCGTACCTAAGAGTTCATCTTAGATGGAAGAGGTGAAAGAGGCCCCGGGGTGAAAAATATATTAGTAAGGCTATATAGGGATTTACAAATACTTTCACCTTAGTTTTGAGCCCAGGCTTTTGTCAATAGCCTAACTGAGCTACGGGTATTCAGTCTCGCCTATCTACTGTGAGAGGTGGCTATTCTAGAATTGGCATGCTACTGTAGGGAGAAAGGAAAATGGAGAAGAATATGAGCTTGCGTTGGCTTCACCAAGAGGCTACTAGTCAACAGCACCACGTAGAGGTCCAAGCTCGCGGCTGTTGGATCCCCCGGAACGCTCTCTGCTGTCCCGGGAGACCCCGGCCTTTGTGGAAAGGCCGGTCGATTCATTGTCGGGACTTGGGTCTGCGTCTTTTTCATGGTCGTGGTCGTGGTCGTGGTCGCTACGAGTCGCGGGTCGGATCCACTGCAGATACACATCTAGCAGAATCTCAGTTCCGGTCGGTGTCGTGGTCTCTAGTGGGTTTCGTAGCCACTAGCTCGCTCCATCGTATCAACCCAAGTCAGGCTTCGCTGCAAGCCCAGTGCCTGCAACAGATTGGCGAACTTTTTTGCTGAGTGTGATCAGGTTTCCGACTCCCTCGTTTTCCACGTCTCCGTCGACGATTCGAAGTTTTCACTCGACCACTCGGCCGTCACCTCAGAATACTTGCCACCTCTGACTAACCCCTCGGTCGGATGCCCTACGCTCTTCATCAAACTCAGAAGAGGTCGTTATTATCATCAAGTCGTGGAATGGTAATAATAGGGGTAATAATAGGGGTTATTAGATAGTGGATAGGATGGTTGTAGGAAGGAAAGTCAGGAGAAAGCAAGGGAGGGATGGGGGCCCATTATATGTTACTAGAACTATGCCTTCCGTTTACGAATTGAGAATTTGACTTTGACCCCAATGTATATATATACTTCAAAGTTTAAATCCATAGAGATTTCACTGGCCAGAATACATTAGAATACCACATACTTCAAAGTTTTCCGCATGTTCTACTACTTTACTCTTTTGGGAATTCACTCATAACCAGGTAAACACTATGTCTGCTATTAGCTTTTCCAGTTTACTTCAATATATTCATGGATGCATATGAAGATCTTCCGTATTCCTACAAAGAATCGGACACCCACGTTGACAAGATTTGGAACCCCTGCACAGCACAGATTTCGAGTGATACGCCACAAATATAAATCGTCAAACTTAGCCGTTTCTATGGGTACCTGCAGATCAATCGAGTCTCGAGATATATGGTCCAACCTAAGGTCCGGGGGACGCAGGCAAAAAGTACGCATGGCTTGGAATCTAGGACTCCATGGATAAACCCGAGTCATTTTTGGGGAAACAGAGTTAAGCCAATCTAACTTTTGCCGACTTTTGTCGTCTTGATATTCACTATTTCTAGAGTTGATTTGCCACATCGCAAGTAATCTGGAAATTCTCCGACGCCAGATACGGGCCGCTGTAGGTTTAATGTGACCTGTAAAATAAATTGCTAGCTTTAAACTGACAACCCGTCATGCCGACTACACAGCATGTAGGCTAAAGCGACAGCTAGAAAGACTGTATTGAATGGTTAGCTTTAGCTCTGTTATGAGGTATTTTGGTAGAAAGAGCCTAGGGAACCTTTGACAGTTTTGAATAGCCCATATTGGCCATATGAATTTAGAATTCTCACGGAACTTGGAAGTCTTAATGGGTGATTGCGAAAACCCACATGAAAGGCACCGCTCCTCTCTTTGGAAACTTCTCTTCCTTTCTCCCCACCAAATCAAAGCTTCTCGTCTCCTTTTCAAGAAAAATTGAAAAGATGGATTCTGTCGGCGATCCCTCGGCTCCTCCCAACCCTCCCCCTGGCCCTGGGTCCAGTGCCAATGGTTTTACCAGCCGCCAGCGTAAGCGGTTGAAGGAGAAGCGTCGCCGGCTAAGAAAGGCAAGTCCCGTGATAGCTCGTCACATCATATGTCATTTAGTCGTGTTTGCTGGATCACGTTATCTCTTTCCTTTCTCGCGGAAATTTTCCTGGGAAATCACTCATCCTTCTGCCGATTCAACATCGATTCAACATGTGTCCCACATCCCAAAGTTGACGATAAATTCTCCCTTCACAATGCCTGACCGTCCAGATGTTTGCGGAGCGACACTCATATCGAATCTAGAAGGAAGCAACAAAGGCCGCCAAAGAGCGTATCGCCCGCCTGGCTGAGCTCTACTCACGCACCGTACAGGCGCAGGCTGAGGTTAGATACCCCCGCTTTCTTCCCCCGTTGATCTCCAAACCAGTCTTCTTCTGGGGTGGTACGAGTGAATATGAGATCTGAAGTGTATGACCTGATTAGCTTGTGGCTGCCATCTATGCTGATCCTGGTGTGGCTAGCGGTGGTATGGTTGGCATGGGCCGTGATGGTGGTCAAGATGGTGCTCTCCATGGCGCCACTACGGGCGCACCGTCGCTCGCTACTCCCGGCCCCGCCAGCACCGTCGGGGCCTCCCGCACCCCCGATACCCACAGTGACCCCCCTCGCACAGCGAGAGCCGGCCCGCGAGCAACGAAACCCTCCCCTTGCCTACAACACCCCTCATTGGGCTCACACGCCCGGACTCGCCCTATGTCAGCACCCTTGTGGTAAGTTGGTTGATCTCTTATTGTCTCTTGAATCTTCTTGTCGATGGGTATCAAGCACTTGTCAACCGCCATGCGCACGTTATACGCGCACATAATATGCAACATACCAAGGCTGACATGTTCTTCGATTATAGCCAACGATGCTCAATAAGGGAGTGGAATGGAATGCCGTCCCCTGCATCTAAAGCCTGCCCGGACATGTTTTAGATTGCATTTTGAATGAATCTTCATCAGCCCCGAACGGGACACCCGAGAAAGAGCAGGTCTGGGCCAGCTCTTCGTATGTGTTTCTGATGTTTCTTCCTCCAATGGGCGCTTTTTGCTTTTTCGGAAAAAAGCATTGAATAAAACAAATATTTCATCCTCACGATACGAGATTGGCCGAGAGTAGGAGACGGCTTTTAAGCGACAGATTGGAATAGATTCAACAGCTTACGGTATTGGCAGTTGTAATAACACCTGCCAGAGAACCAAGGCCATGTAGTACAAACCGACAATTTAGTAAATTACAATAATGACTTGGAGGTAATATGTACAGTGACTCGGCAAAAGTATTAACACCCTTGTTTGTACCGCCTTCTGATTGATAGATACGGGCACACCGTCTTCGAATCCTGATGGAGAATCAAATTCCCGGCAGAATGGGGTGTTGACACTAGGCGGTGTGACAATAAAAACAATAATCACGTGGTTATGTCACATGACCTCGGGTAAAACTTTTCAGTCGGACGGAACACGGAAGGAGATATCCGCTTCCGGGGAGATCGGCAGGTTGATGTTACTGAATTTGCATCACTCACTACAATGAAGAATGAAATTGAACGATCCTCTGTCTAATAGTATACAGCATTTATAGAAGAAAAAAACCCTTCCTAGTTGGCTTGCTCAATGTTCAGGTAGTGGCTTTCAGACACGGAGAGTGGGCCCGGAACAGGGACGGAACAGGAACTCATGTTACATGCTCCTTCGAAGACGCCAAAATTTTTGATAGAGATTAGAGTATCCATTACAGATACACTCCACCTAATGCGGGGAAGAAGCATCCAAGAATCTGGGGTCTTTTATATCTTTCAATGTGATGTAAGACATTATCCAGGCATAGGGCCAAATAATGCCTGTAAAGACTGTCCTCCCCCCCCCCGGCACGCGTGAAGAATCAGTACATAAAAAGGTCATCTTGGTTCCATATATCCCGAATATTCCGCACAAAATCTTAGCTTTATTTGCATATTCCAATCATTGCTTCGCTCTGGCTGTCTCGTAGTTATCTTCCCCAGACGAGGAAATAGTGGGGCCATGGGAGTCAGAGATTTCTTCGAAGATCATCGTCGGTACTCAATGAGTCAACATCAACTTGCAACCTGCAACCAACCATTAACAATACCAACATGGAGAAAGACATGGAGAAAGATATGGAGAAAGTCATGGATTCAGAGAAGTCACAAGATCCATTTGCCGGGGAAGTTGTTGGTGGAGTGCGTTACAGGAGTATGAAGTGGTGGTAAGTCTACAATTGCAGGGTTCACAACAAGCTATTGCAGTAAGCTAATTAAATATGCGTTCAGGAACTGTGCAATTTGTACATATACCCCAGTTGGACTAAATTCAATCATGGACCATAACTAAACAGCCAATAGTGATGATTGCTCAGTCTGTCTCATTGGGAGTTCTCTCCCTCCCATCGTCGATGGCAGTCTTAGGTTTGGTCCCGTACGTCTGATGAGAATGTCTCTGACCTTTATCATGAACTCGTGCTAATCCTGATAGTGGTTGTATCATTATTGTTGGGATCGGAGCTTTGACGACCTACACTGGATATGTTGTCGGCCAATTCAAATTGCGGTACCCTCAGATTCACAACATGGCAGATGCCGCAGAGATATTATTCGGCGCTTGGGGTCGCGAAATCGTTGGAGTCGCTCAAGTTATCTGTTTTATCTTCCTCATGGGCGCCCATGTGTTGACATTCTCTATCATGATGAACACTCTTACTGAACACGGTGCTTGTACCATCATTTTCTGTCTGGTGGGAACTGTCCTCTGCTTCATCTTGACCCTCTCAAGGCGCATGGAGGAAGTTTCATACCTGGGCATTATATGTATGACAGAACTCTTTCCTGCTGTTGAAACTAAACTAACAACTACTAGCCTCGCTATCAATCTTCACCGCCGTAGTGATCACCATGATCGCTGTTGGCATCGAAGCACCCGATCCCAGGGCATATGCTATTACCCACCCATCTCTGATGAACGGGTTCTCCGCTACTCTTAATATCGTCCTTGCTTATTCTGGCCATATGTCCTTTTTCAGCTTCCAGTCGGAGCTGGAAGATCCACGTGACTACCCCAAAGCGCTGATTGCCTTCCAAGTAACGGACACATCGCTGTATCTCGTTGCTGCCATCGTAATTTACCGATACGCCGGCCCGGATGTCCTCAGCCCCGCCCTGCTGAGTGCAAGTGAAGTCGTTGCGAAAGTTGCATTTGGCATCTGCATCGGTACGATTGTCATTGCTGGAGTGGTCATTTGTCACGTCGGTGCAAAGACCATTTACGTGCGGATGTTCCGTGGTACCCATATGATGAGCGAGAGGTCTTTCCGTTCATATGGCACTTGGGTGCTTATTACTTTCACCATGTGGGTGATCGCCTGGATTATCGCACTCGCGATCCCTGTGTTCAATGATCTGCTCAACATGATTGCGGCGGCATTCTGCAGTTGGTTTTCGTTCGGTCTGGAGGGCCTCTTTTGGTTGAAGATGAACCGCGGACGGTACCTTTCAAGCAAACGAAAGATCGCTTTAACTGCACTTAACATCTTTCTTGTCGCCCTGTGTTGCCTGATTGTGAGTTTCCTACGTTTTGATTCACGAGAATCTGATACTAACGAATTAGTGTGGAATGGGTCTTTGGGCCACAGGAACAAGCATTCAGATCAATGCGCAGACTGCACAAAAACCTTTCTCCTGCGCATCTAATGCCTAGACTACTTTTTTTTCGTTCTCGTCGTTACGGAATATCCTTCTACATTATATACATAGCAATGATAGATCTAGAATGTACAATTACTTGCTGAGGCGCATTTTTTATTGAATCCAATGTCATTTAACCTGCAGCTTTCAACCGCCCATTACTCCATGAATATAGATACAAAGGGTATTTGGAGATAACATCATCATGTTTCACGTCATGTGAGGGGTGTCAACTACCTTTCTTTGTGTGGTGGTTCTATGGAAAGGTACTTGTATCACGAATTTGCATTGAACACGTTCTTACATTGAACATGCGGCCGAGTCCCTAGATGGGGATGGACGGTGTATTGAGCCTCCTATTATTTTCGTCCTGTCGCTTTCACTATGGATAGTTATCTTATTAAAGGCCAGCCAACTTTTGTGGCTGTGTGGCATGGGCAAACCAATACATGTAACGACCTATGAATGATAGATATACAAGGGATTGGGGGAGAGTCCAATCCAAGAAGTCTTTACTGGGAATTGATCATATCGGACAGGCCGTGTCAATCTTGGCGCTTTTATTAATAAAAATAGCGCGGAGACTTTTCCCACAAAAGTCGTGGGTCGGCCGGTAGATCTGCCGCACTATAAAAGTCTCCGTTGTAGAGTCGGAACCTTTCGTAGAATGCTAGTTTCCGCGACCATGCTCTACCCAGTTAAAGGAGACATACTGCATTGAAATTGCATTCGTCGGGGAAATTGCCCCGAGTTGACAAATGACCGCTGGAAGGCCTAAAATATCCCATGCTATGCAATATATCAGCCGGGTTGTTTCCTCTTACGTTTGTTCGTACAGACGCAATCGGTCTACTTTATCATGTCTACAGTGTCTATGTCGCTAGACCCCGAGCTCCTCAGGGATACTGAAAAGGTCATTCCGAGCGATTCGTCACAGGAATCACAGGAAAAGCGGCATATCACCGGCTTTAAGGTTCGTCTATTCACTTTCGGCCCACCTTCGTGGAATCAAACACCTGACTGTATTAGTGGTTCATACTTCTATTCAGTACCCTGACGGCAATCTTTGTTTACTCTCTGGACAATACAATTGTTGCCAACATTGCTCCGGTGGGCGCATCATCCTCTCCCCTCAGTCAAGAACCGCACACTAATATCTGTTTCTCTTTTTGAAAAGACAATTGTCAACGAGTTCAACGCCGTCGAAGATTTGCCATGGCTATCGGTTGGGTACGTGTTGGATAATAACGCTGGCCATGAACGTCGCCGCTGACAAGCTTCGCTCTATACAGGTTCATGATTGGAGGAACGGCAATGGTACTTCCGCTTGGAAAGCTGTACACGATATTCGATGCCAAATGGGTGCTTATTGTGTCTACTGTTGTGTTCATGGCAGCCTCTGCGCTGTGTGGAGGAGCGCCAACGATGGACGCCGAGATCATTGGCCGAGTCCTCGCTGGTGCAGGCGGAAATGGAATGTATTTCGGCCTTCTTGCTCTGATTTCCATGAATACCACCAGCCAAGAGCGGCCAAAATATCTAAGCTTGACGTGAGCATAGCTTTATGAAGACGGAGTGATCATACACTGAAATTTCATTTTAGTGGCTTGGTTTGGGGTCTGGGGACTGTGCTGGGTCCTGTTGTCGGCGGTGCCTTTGAGCTGTATACATGGCGGTGGGCGTTCTACATCAACCTTTTGTTTGGTGCTATCTTACTGCCAACCTATGTTTTTGTCATTCCGTCCAACAACCCGCTACCTGGCACATCGCGATGGCAGAAACTAACCACCTTTGACTTGGTGGGCACCATACTCAGCGTTGGGTCATTCACTACTTTGGTCATGGCAATCAATTTTGGTGGAATCCTTTACCCATGGAATAGCGGAAAGACTATTGCACTATTCGTTGTCTCCGGTGTTCTGTGGATTATATTCGGTATACAACAGGGTTTCAACATCGCCACCTCAGCCGAGACACGCATTTTACCCATCCACCTTTTTGCCCAGAGGGAGCCAGTGCTACTGTTTATCTCTTGTGCGGCAGTAGGTGCAGTGTCCTACATCAGTGTCTATTATATCCCTATCTATTTTCAGTTCACCCAAGGAGACAACGCGATCAAATCCGCCGTCCGTCTGCTCCCGTTTATCTTCCTGCTGATCGCTACTATACCAACTAGCGGGGCTATGATGTCCCATTTTGGCTACTACAAGCCCTGGTATCTGGGCGGCAGCGTAATCGCCTTCATCCCGGCTGTGCTAATGTGTAAGTCATACGTGGAGGTGCGTGTGTTCTTTGATCATATGCTAACATCATCACCAACAGCGACCATCGTCAACATCGACACCTCATCAGGCGTGATATATGGTCTCCAAATTGTGCTAGGACTTGGGGCTGGCGCATACACGCAGGCAGCTTTCGCGGTCATCCAAGCTGTTGTAGAACCCGGAGAAGCATCCAATGGGCTGACTCTCATGTTACTGGGTTCGTCTTTTTACTCCTCTGCCAAATTCCCAGCTAACACACACTTTGCAGCCCAGCTAATCGGCATAACGATGGGCTTGTCTATTAGCGGGGCGGTATTCGTCAATATTGCGTCGAATGGCCTGTTCGCCCTACTTCCTGGCTACCCCCAATCTCAGGTCAGGCAGATTGTCTCTGGGACTAGCAGCAAGCTACTTGCATCACTCTCTGAGAATATGCGTGAGCAGGCGCTTATTGTGATTGTGTCTGCATGGAAAAATATGTAAGTGGGGACTGTTCAGTTTCTGGTGGACGCCTTGCTAACTTTTCGGGGAAGTTTCATCTGTGTGTATGTGGCCGCTGCTGTGAGCTTGATATGCTCTATTTTCATGTCGGTAAGTGAAAAAGGGTCCTGGTTTGAATTACTCTTACTAAGTGATATGTACAGCATAATCGTTGTAATGTTTCAGCCGCTGCAGGGGGTGCGTGATATATCTACATATGCTTTGCAGCTTGGGAGGGCGGAGGGTTTCATCGGAAAAGGGTGCAATCGTTCTTAATGTGCTTAATCGAGGCACTCAGGTCGAACACCGAGTATTTTTTGGGTTTCTGATATCAAGCATTCTCCTGGGCTCTATCCCGAAAATAGAAGCAAATTAAGATGGCAAAGATTTGTTACAAATTTGCCAATCCTTCGACGGCCAAATTTAATGGCAGTATCATCAAACCATCAACTTGAATTACCTCTAATGCAGTATCAATTGAAACCATATACTACCAGTCCTGGATCTTCCCATAACCCACACTCGCCACCGAATCATTCGCCCAGTACCGCCCACTGATTTGGTCAATTTCGCCAATCGCCAATCACAGGGGAATTCTCGCTCCCTGGTCTGATAGAATGGTGAGATAGAAGCCCCGTGAGAGAAAGAATTTCCATACTAACCAACAGATTTGGGTGGCTGGCCCGCCTGCGCACCCAGTGGCGTGCCCACCCACCCAGGGCAGCAACAGTTAATCATCAGATGAGAATTTTCGCGGGTCAAAATTCGTGTGACGCAATTTAGAGCGGCCTTGCTGGTGAAGTAAGCAAGAGGGGGCCAGCCTGAAGCGGTCGCGGTGTGCTGGTCGGCTAAGTGCTAGAGTAAAGTGATTGTCAGCAGACCAGAAAGAGAGATAGAAGATCAAATTAACGTACTATATACTCCTCAACCAGATCATCCAGCTCGGAGAGGTTGAGATCAGGACTCAGAAATCGCGCCTGCAGGCGAGGATGGAAATATTTGAGCTGGCCGGATTGGGAAGAGATATTGACAATGCGGCCACCCTTACGCATGATTGGTAAGAAGGCTTGACAGATCTGGGCAGATTAACGGTTGGGAATGAGGACAAGAAGAGGGGGATCGGTGGACTTAGATACATTGAGTGTGCCGCGATAGTTCACGTCAAGAGTTTCCTGGCGCTGTGCGGCTGTGATGTTCCCTTGAAAATAATATAGCCCGGCATTGTTAATGACAACATCACAGCCCTTGTTTTCGTTTCTGATCCTCGCGGTGAGTGCGGAGATACTGGCCTGGTCCGTAAGGGAGAGCTGAGCAGGGCGAATCGACACAGTTGGGGGAATGGCCAGGTTGGTCAGATCGAGAGAAGCTCCAGCACGTGAGGCTGCATACAAAATCAGGGGACCTGAATACTGTTGAGCCAGCGCAGCACATATGGCACGCCCGATGCCACGGTTCTGCAATCATGGTGAGGGGTGACCTGGAACAAGAGGGGCAGACTTACGGCGCCAGTGACTACAGCTACCAGGGGAGTTTCCATGATTGCGCTGTAATGTTCTCTATTGAAGAAATGTAAACAGGAGGAAGTAGTTGGCTGTCATCGGAACGCTACGTAGTCCCGACGATAATTAATAATTATCCCAATTATGTTTAGTAGTAACTAATGCCAAGCTATGCAGTCCATGAGCGAGAGCCTCGGCCTAGCAACTAATGACGAGGAAGGCTATATTGCTAGGGCATGAAGATACGACATAATTGAGATGACGAGGCTTCAATAATTATCTATCTAGGAACCATGTCAAGTAGTTTTGATTTCCGCTTTCTATGCTTGAATTCAGAAGGGAACAACTTCCATGCCTATAAGCAGCTGGCATTGGGGAATTTTAGTTCCAAGTATCACCCGGCAAGCCGATATAATTTTCCGATGGGATAGAGCTAGGCTAAAGTATCTAGTATAATACACGGATTTCTTCTACTAAGCCACTTATGGGTTGAAATACAAGGCCAATATGATCGGGTTTCCATACTATGGGTTCTTTGGAGCCACCAAGCCCGTCTATAGCACTGCCAGTCTCATTGGCGAAAGAAATGATACATATTTTTCTCACACCTGGTGGTCGTACGATGCTAGATAATTGATTTTAAATCACTTTCATTGTGTCTATAATACTCTCATAGACACTTAAGCTGGTACATACGACCATAGGGTGTGGAAAACAGGGCTTCCCGTCCGCTCAGCCGTACTTAAGCCACACGCCGGTGAGTTAGTAGTTGGGTGGGTGACCACCAGCGAATCCTCACTGTTGTATGTTTATATTTTTTACATTCTTTTCATAATCGTCATGTCTGTTATCCCTCAAATTGCATTGGCGAACCCGAGCATTGCTGTCCGCTGCGTATCAAACAGCCCAGAGACTATATAGCATCTGTCACCTAGCTTGAAATCATTGAAGTCTAACATTTAAAATAACTATATATCTTGAAAGACAACTATAACTGTATCTTACGTATGTTCTAGTGTGTATACTCCCCCCTATATATGCTAGGGATCTCGGTGCCCGAGGCCGTAAAAGTATAGTAACTAACTACTACATATGTAATTAATTCATGAACTATCACTTTAATATATACCGTGATCTTGACGATCTCTCTATTAATGCATTCCTAGGGATCGGACATCTATGTAACTTACAATTTGGGGCTTAATCAGTAATTAAAATACCCAAAATTACTAGGAAATTCTGCATTACTTTGTAACTACGACGAATCGGCATGTTTGTATTGTTTGGTGACCACGGTTGGGCTATGGGCCCCAGTTGTGGGCCCAAAGCCCGGCCCATTCGTGGGTTGGATCGGGTTGGGCTTTGGGCTTTGTGGGCTTTGTGGGCTTTGTGGGCTTTGCGGAGGTCTACACAGCACTACGCGAATCATCGGGGTACACAGTTCAACAACTAAGGGAGCGTGGGGTGGTTTCGAGGGAAAATGAGCACTTCCACCAAGAAGACCGAAAGACAATGTGCAAAAGTAAATTGATTGTATGCAACCTTGAAATATTATGGTAACCCTTTAGGAGTCCCAACAACAGACCTAGGGGTATGATATGGTGTATAGTGCGAGCGACCATCCTGCGATTGATCATTCAACGACCCTCCATCCACCGATCCTGGTATTTGATCCAATTGTGTGAGAGGAAATTCACTATCCGTCTCGTCGATACCATACGTCCGTTTTGCCGTACTATTCTTGCTCAGCGTAGGTCCCGTGGACGGCTGCGTCGAGTATACAGCACGGACACTGGAGAACAAGGACGGGAAAGCGGCCTTGAGAATCGGTCGCAGCATGGGCGCGCATGAATTTGCAATGGCAAGAGCAGGCTCCGTCACACTCCAAAAGGCAGCCCAGATCATCGAGTAAGACAGATCGGTGAAATCGACTGTGGTGAGGACAAGGATGCGGATGATGGTGATGGAAGAAATACTGTGAAGCTCGTTAGAACTTTGTGAGGAAGAATCTGAGAAAACAGAGGAGGAATAACATACAAGACACCCAATCCAAAGATACCAATCAACGCCAACTTGGTCGCGAGAGACATCTGCAATTTCCAGACAAAACGAATAGGCAACGCCATAATCATCACATCGGTGAGCAGATTAAAGGCTCCAATCGTCGAAAACGCCACATTCTGACTCGCACAATGACCCGGCAGAGTTGGATTCCAGTTCTTCTCGAATGGTGTGCAGATTAGGAAGATCTGGAGCATACTCCCAGTCCAGTATGCACCCGCACAGCCCATACATATCCATGTCAGGATGCGGAATTCCCGCGACACAAAGATTCGCAGGTAGAAAGCGAGATAAGAGAATTTAGCCAGAACCATGGCGTTGTAGTAGACGATTTGGTAGACCATGAGCATTTTGGCGATCAATACAGCATTCTCTGTGGGGATAACGGTGATGTGGTGTCGCATCCCGACACGAGCATAGTGGAATTGCATCGCGAGCATTCCATATGTGTGAAATAAGCCCCCGACACAGAATGCATCGTCCCATCCTAGATAGGCTTTTCGGATTCGGCGGGAGACGCCACGCAATATTACCAAGAGGGTGGCGACTGCGACGAGGATTGTGTTGGCGATGAGCTGGTCTCGCACGATTGGGAATTCAAAGATATTGTATAATTGCATTTTTTCGTGAATATAGGATATAGAGTATAAAGGTGAAGAAACTTTCAACATTACCATTATTGTCCCCGCCAATCATACAAAGTACTATGTGCTAGGGTTTCAGACCGTTGATTGGCCAGACTAGTGATCGGCAGGGGTTAACCATGGAATTGTTATGGGCCGTTATAGCGGGCCGTTTTTCGAACCGAAAAACCTTAAGAATATTAGTTTACCTAAAAGGCTGAAGGAACTGACTGCCATTGGAAAGATTGTAAGACATTAGCTGGGGCTAAGTGAAGCTTGCAAAGACCATTTCCTCGATTGTATCCATTGTTTTGGGTATTAACGAATAAAAACCCAGTCACCACCATGGGATACAAATAGTCAGCTTCCGAAAAAGCTATAGTACGGAGCTAACAAACTGACAGCTGATAGTTAACAGCTAACTACTCCGTAACTAGTTAATATAGCTATAGTTAGCCGGAAGTATGCCCCTCCGTGTACTCCGCTCTCAGCCGATGTCTCCCCAAATATTTCTATAGTCAATTCCCCCATTAAACTAAATTGCAACATGGATGAATACGACTACATCATCATCGGCGCAGGAATCGGCGGTCTTGTTCTGGCAAATCATCTAAGCCAGGATGTCTCCGTCAATGTCCTCCTCATTGAAGCTGGCGCCAATCGGATGGGGGATCCTCGTATCGAGACCCCTGGATTTTTGGCTACAATGTATGGCAACCCCGACTTTGACTGGGATTACATGAGTATTCCGCAGGTATCTCCCCCTTAAACATCTTCTCGTATCCAAAACTAATTCATGAATAGGTCCATGCAAAGAACCGACAAATTGGCCAGCCCCGCGGTCGCGTCGTCGGCGGCTCTTCCGCATTGAATTTCTCCGTGGTTGTGTACCCCACCGCATCAGACTTTGATTCTTGGAAGGCCTTAGGAAACGATGGCTGGGGCGCCAAGGATATGGCTCATTATCTTCGGAATTTCCACACGTATTCCGCACCCAGCGAGGCCACAGCAGAACTACTCGGCACAAGTCGGTATATGAATGTTGATAACCAAGGATCCCATGGCCCTCTCCCCGTATCTCTACCCGATATATATGGGCCATTTAACAAAGCTTGGAACGAGACTTTTGCGCAATTAGGTTGGGAAACCGATGCCGATCCCCTCGATGGACACAAATTGGGCGCTTTTACCCCTCCACTGAGCGTCGATCCTAAGACGGGGACAAGAGGGTATGCAGCGGCATACTACTCCCCCGATGTTGCGGCGCGGCCGAACCTACGACTTCTCACAGAGACAATGGTCGAGCGAATTCTATTCAAACAAGAAGATGGAGAGGTCATCGCGACAGGTGTACAGGTCAAGACTCAAGGCAACCCAGACCCATACCAGATCAGCGCAACGAAAGAAGTTGTCCTCTGCGCAGGCAGCCTAAACTCTCCCCAACTGCTCGAGCTCTCGGGTATCGGTAGTGCAGAGCTTCTCCAGGCCCACGGCATCCCGCTAATCATTGACAACCCCGCTGTGGGCGAGAACCTCCAAGATCATGCCATCACAAGCATCAACTTCGAGATCGCCGACGGCCAGATTTCGGGCGATATACTGCGCGATCCAAACGTCGTCCAGGCTCTCATCAAGCTCTACGAGGAGACGCGCGGAGGCCCGCTGGCAGGCATGCCCCTCAGCATGGCTTATCTCCCGTTGGTGGATGGAACTGGTGCCGTGCCGAAAGAAGAAATCGAGACCCTGCTCTCCAGATACCTCGACGACGAGAACACCCCAGCCAATCTGCAGGCGCAATATTCTCACATCCGCAAGATGCTCCTCCAAAGCGACGAGGCTTCATCGCACTACCTCTTCCTTCCTGCCCAACTCCACATGAACCCAGGAAAGACAACTCTCACCGAAGTGCTGGCCAAAACTCTCCCGGAGAATTACATATCCATCATGATGCTACACAACCACCCCTTCTCCCGCGGCTCAGTCCACATTTCCTCCGGAAAGATTGAAGACAAGCCCACATACGACCCGAACCTGCTCTCACACCCGCTCGATCTAGAGATTATGGCCCGGCAGCTGCAATTCGTGGACCGCATTGCGGAGACTGCGCCTTTCTCAACCCTCCTCAAGACCGGGAAACGCGTTCCTGAGAATGCGACCGATTTGAGTGACCTGGACCATGTGAAGGATATTGTTAAGGATCTCCTGTACACGTGTTTTCATCCATCGGGCTCATGTGCTATGCTGCCCAGGGAAAACGGGGGTGTTGTTGATTCTAACCTAAAGGTTTACGGGACGAAGAACCTAAGGGTTGTTGATGCTAGTATTTTCCCGCTTGAGCCTAGTGGCAATATTCAGGCTACCGTTTATGCGGTTGCGGAGCGGGCGTCGACGTTGATGCGCCACGTTTGACCTCTGTGTCCCAGAATCTTCAATTGGGAAGAGAATATGAAAGAGCACCTTACGGTAGTGCATCAGGAAATAGTTTGATCTGGGCGCTGGGATTTGATCAAGACTAGTATGGGACATGACCTCTTGTTATGAATACCTCCCTGATAGCCCATATTTATTTCGCTAGATTGTATATAGGCAAATTGAAACAATGGTTTGACAGCGCAATGATCTAGAAGAGCTGACATGCAAGGAAGCCTTTTAAGGTATATCAATGCAACGTCTCATTCTTCGTAGGTCTCTCTTGGCAGGTGATGAGCCCTCCGAAGCTCTATCAACTTCATCATTGCGATCATTCAAGCGCCTTTTTTCAACGCGCAACTTCTCAACTTCTGGCGTGTCGCAGTAATCTCTATTTCGTCACCTAGCTGTCGACCCTCCACCCGTCAAGACCCCGGTTTTCATCAACGCCAGTCGCTTCATTTGACCAATTTTCATGTCTACTATATTCACCCACAACAGTGCGCTATCACATTTTTCGCGTATAAGCCCACCGTACAGATCTCAGAATTCCGTTTCACGGCCTCTTTGGCCATCCGACGGAGGCACTCGCGACCTGCTTCACTCAGATGTCGGCGGGGTTACACCGTCTCTAGGTCGACACTTGTTCGAATTGGGAGACCTGGGACATTTTCAGAGTCCGACTCCGGCGCTGCCTGTAATGTCATCTCGCGAATTGCTCGATGGTTGGCAGTTTTGTGAGGCATCAGAAGAAACGGTTCATCAACATCACCGAGTGCTGCTTCCACGGTTTAGACGGCAGAATTCCAGGTAGTATGCGCGGGGAGGGTCACATAAGTTCACTGTGCTCCCCATTCATGGACTCAGCAAGCTGGCGAAGGGTATTGTGCAGGGTAATGAGTGCGATAGATCCTCGGAGGCCATGTCGTCGGCGGGCCTCGTCCTTTCCTTTTGGTTACTATCTATAATTAACCTAAAAGATAAAATCCTTAAGTCCTCTTTAAGATTCTAGAGGAGTGAAAACTACTTACCGTTCTTTATCGAGTTGAAGGCGAATATGTTTGGTTTCGACAGCAGTTATCGCTGGACTGTATCCAGAATGAGGTCGTTCAGCACTATCTATGATGAGGCGGTAGTAATGATTGTGTTGCAATGCACTTGGGTATTAGGTGAAAGGCCGCATACCTTGAGTCGCGATAGACATAGTCGTTCCCTCCCGTTTAAAAGCACAAGTGATGTCTTTAGAGCGTCCGATGAGGCAGGAGCGGAATCTAAGAGAACTACCCAGTTGACTGCCTGAATGCCTGGATTTTGCCTATATTTAGACCACTTTTTACAACCATAGAGCTTAATCGGGTACGGAACAATTCGGCCCGGTGAACGCATGAAGCCTTTTATATAATACAAATTTATGCATCACCACATTTTGAGGTGGTTTACTCCTATGCGCCATTATAGCTAGCCCTATTTCCTACAGTAAATTTTAGTATTTCTGCCTTTTTTCTAATTTTTATTTCACAATTGTTTAATTGATAAAAGCATGCGTGTTCCACTATACTACCCATATTATCAATCCTAGGCGTAGGCGTTCTTGCCGCAGTATTCGGCGACATGCGACATAAATCTCTGTCCTGTGGGATGATAATTTGGGATACAGTAGAGATTTTCGCGGCGATTAGTATAGCCGCTTCATGCGATTTTGCCCAGGCTTTGGTGGCTGAGCTAAAATACGAGATTTTAAGGTCAGCTGGTGTACTCTTGAAATATCACTCAGGGGTATTGTGTCAAAATTGGCGATCTGGCTATATACCTTTGCACCGAGAAGAAATATAGTAGCATTTATCCGAGCTGGAATGATTGCTTGCTCTGAGTTCCAAGACGAGAACACCCAGGACTGAGTGAAGGTTAATACCCTGGATATGCTGCTTTTTATGGTTTTCTAGGGCGTCTGGGGATGGTCGCATATGTCACCTACGGAACGGTTCTTTGTGGCTTCCGGTGGAATAAGCCCAAAGATGTGGCTACCATAATCAACATACCCTGGCGGCTCAGTCGATACGATATCTTAAAGTAAGTCCGGTGATGAATCCAAGTCCACAGAGCTGGGTCCATTTGCGAGGTCATCTGCCCGCCCCCAAAATATAGGGGGGTTTCACTTTTTTTTCCCCTTTACCGATGGTAGCGCTGGTTCCGGTTTCAGTGAAGATAGTGGAATATGGTTGTCTCATGGTATGAGAGCTTTATCTACTCCGTACTGTATTTGCCACCTCCATTGCTATCTACGGAGTGGTGGGATTGGTCTTACTAAGTGTGCAATATATATCCGCAGATCAGTCTGGCCCGGCCGATACTTAATTTATACATTGGAGTGTGACCGTACTATAAATTGGAGCAGAAAATGAACCAAGTCACAAACAAGTTTAATATATTTAATAAACTACATTTATTTCCATGTAGCAAAATAATCGAAATAACTAAATAAATAAAAAATAAAAGAACAAAAAGATATGATAAGAGTGGGATTCGAACCCACGCCTCTTGCGAGACCAGGAAACTATTGCTAGTTATAGAGTCAAGGTATACCTTAACCTGGCGCCTTAGACCAACTCGGCCATCTTACCAATTGATGGAATATGTGTCCTCTTCATGCATTATAGTTAAACTTTACATTCCAAACAAAAAAAACAAAGAAAAAGAGGCAACTCCAGACCGGATTTCCTCGGGTGGGGCTTTCCCATTTCAGCTATGATCTCACAAAATTGGGGAACATATCAACTTCTTCTAAATTTTCAGTCCAGCTGACCCTTTTATCCCTCTAGGGAAACCCCATACCATGTCTCGTCTTGTCGCGTCTGTTAGCAACAAAATCCCGAAACCATAACAAAAATCCCGAAAGGGGCCAATGCATCGGGAAAAAAGAATGTTCTCGGCCCCCGAGATCGGAAGCGGACAGCTCTGACGCAAGGGTGCTTATATTATTAGAACCATAAATTTCCAAGGCTGCGCGCGGACTGGTTGAGTTAATCTCCACCAAAACAAACTAATCAGATGCCAAAGGATTATTCCATATGGCTCTTTGCAGTCACCAGGAAGGTGGACACCTTCAGGGGTGGCGGTTTGAGTCCACATGATGTAATATTCGCCCTGGCTGATCAGCGGTCAAAACCAGCGGTGACCCTCGCAAGCTGGTCGACTTACTTGCAAACCTTTCATATTTTTCCAAGCCCCTTCTTTCAATCCCCTTAATCACAATGGCAGCCCTACGGCTCAACACCAAGAACTTGGACTTAATTGGGAAGGCAAGCCGTGGGAAGATCCAAATTCCAAGCCACCGTTCACGCAATGCCGGTGCCGTTAAGGAGGGAATTGTTCACATTGGCGTTGGCGGTTTCCACAGAGCTCATCTGGCCGTCTACGTTGATCAATTGATGGAGAAGCATGGTATTAAGAACTTCGCAATTTGCGGCGTTGGCTTGCAACCCTTCGATTCTGCTATGCGTGATATCCTGAGAGAGCAGGACCACCTCTACACCGTCATGGAGCGCTCTGACAAGGGAAGCTTCGCCCACGTCGTGGGATGCATCAATTCCTACCTCTATGCCCCAGACAACCGCGAAGCTGTCATCGCCAAGATGGCCCACCCTGATACCCATATTGTGTCGCTCACCATCACCGAAAGCGGCTACTACTACAACGAGAACACACACGAGCTGCAAAGCGAACACCCCGATATCAAGTACGATGCCACTGCGGCCAACGAGAACGCACCGCGCACAACCTTCGGTTTCCTCTACGCTGCCCTGGCACGACGCCATAGACAAGGACTCAACCCCTTCACTGTCATGTCGTGTGATAACATGCAGAAGAACGGCTCCATCACACGCCACATGCTAGAGTCATTTGCGCGCATGCGTAACCCTGAGGTCGCAGAGTGGATTGCCGAGAAAGGCGCCTTCCCCAACGCCATGGTAGACCGCATCACACCCCAGACAGAAAATGTCGATAAAGAGGCACTAGCCGAAAACTTTGGCATCGAGGACGCATGGCCCGTTGTCACAGAGCCCTTCATGCAATGGGTCATCGAAGACAAGTTCTCCGACGGCCGCCCACCTTTCGAGAAGGTCGGTGTCCAGGTTGTTAATAACGTCCACGACGTCGAGCAGTTCGAGATGCACAAGCTCCGCCTGCTCAACGGCAGTCACTCGGCCATTGGCTACCCCGGTCAACTGGCTGGCTTCAAATACGTCCACGAAGTCATGCAGAATGCAAAGCTGCGCAAGTTGGTGTGGGAGATGATGCAAGAGGAGGTGAAGCCGCTTTTGCCCAGCATCCCCGGCGTCGATATCGACCAGTATTGCAGAACGCTCATGAAGCGCTTCTCCAACTCCACAATCCAGGATCAGCTGCCTCGCATCTGCCTCAATGCCTCCGGCAAGATCCCACAGTTCATCATGCCCTCGATTGCCGAGGTGATTATGAAGTCTGCAGCAGATAAGCGTGAATATCCTTTCCGCCGCCTCTGCTTCGTCGCGGCGGCTTGGTTCACTTATATCAGGGGCGTCGATGACAAGAAGGCTACCTTCAACGTCAACGACCCCATGCTCGACGAGCTCCGGGCTGCGGCCAAGGCCGACCCTGGCGGTCCTTTGGGACTACTGGAAATCAAGAACCTCTTCGGTGACGACTTGCGCACAGATAAGAGGTTCATCGCTGAGATGACACAGGCCATGAAGGACATTGCCGAGAAGGGTGTCTTGGCCACACTCGACGAGTACTTCCCAGACTCGAAGGAAGACCGAAACGACGTTGACTAAGCGCTGTTGATTTCTGGCGAAAAAGTTACACTTGCGTCTGCGAGCGTTGTTTTACATTTTTATTTTGCATGCGTCCTGAGGGGTGAATATACCCAGGAGAAAATTACAAGAGGGTAGATAAAATTACCTGGCTATGTATGTACTTGTATATTGGAATGGATCTCGCTCTTTGGAGAGACCTGGCGGATTTGGGATGTGTTTTTTTTGGAGAAAGCTGCAACATTTTGTGGGCGGGGGATATATGGTCTGTTAGGGTAGACCAATGCGAATCTTAATTATTACCGATATAAAAATCCCGGGAGCAACTTTCCAGGCCTACAACATAAGTGGGGTAGATAACTTGCTCGGGGGTCACCTTCTCAACCATTCACCTTCTCTATAAGCGTGCTCAGTTTTACATTGGAAAAAAAGGTGAGTACGTAAAAGGGAAAATGACGACGAAGGCACATTGGAGAATATTTTCAAGCTAATAGTGTTCCATAAGCTATCAAGATGGCTAGGTAGGTGGCTCAATGACAACATGAGATCCATAGCCAATCAACAAGTCGGCAGTTATCGTTATTGGAAGAGACCTAGAACTACCTACATACGGAATACAAGCTGGGATTTGTTTATGACATCAATATATTTGGAATCCGGGATAATAAAACACCCGCTAGTTTAGAAGAAGTATGTAGGAACGATGTTACAAAAAAGCCACACCCATCTCACTGGGGGCTATACAAAACAGCCAATAAAACAGTCTCAATCATCAGCGCAAACAAGTTTACAGCATGATCATGAAGACACCAGAGGCAACAGCAGCGACTGCATAGGCACCCGTCTGCCAGGCACCAATGTGCACAGCCTGGGGAACAGTACCAGCAGCAATACCAGACGAGGTAGCACCACCACCACTAGCAGAGCCAGAAGCACCAGCACCAGTGCTAGCAGCAAGACCACCATCGACAGCACCAGTACCAGCAGAGCCAGCAGCACTCATCTGAGTAGCGCAGGAGCCAGAGGCAGAGGTAGACTTCTTGGTCTTAGCGACACCATTGAAGTCACAGGCCTTCTCACCAGCGGTACCCTTGTTCTTCTTGTAGTAAGCGTTCATGGCCCAGGCCAGACGCTGTTTAGCGGAGCACATGGAGTAAGCGCCATAGGTTCCAGAAGTGGCGTTCGACTCCACTCCGTTCATGACGCCCTTCTCGCCGCCGAGATAGCCGAAAGTGGATCCGACCTGCTTGTCGGTGATATCGGAGTTAGGGGCACACTCGAGGGAGTTGTACATGCACTCGCAGAGGTCTGCGTTGGGCGAAGGGGGAAGCTTGCTCGCGGCGTTCCAGTCTGAGCCGATGGTGGGGCAGCTGCGACCGACTGTGGTGGAGACGGAGTATTTGTCTGATTTCACGCCGGTCGGGGTTGCAGAGGCCATTTGCTTGGAGAGGTTGGTGAAGTCGGGAAGGGTTTTGACCTCGTCGCCGTCGACGGAGACGAGACCGTACTTGTTGGCTTCTTCGTAGTACATGTAGACGATTCCGCCGGACCAGACGTCGGTCATCTTGTCGCTGTACAGGACGGGAACATCGGTGAACTTGCGGGGGCGGACTTCGTTGCAGCCGTACTCAGAGAAGAAGGCGGGCACGGGGTAGTCGGCGAATTCCTTAGTGCGCTCGGAGTAGCCGGACTTCTGGAAGGTAGAGTCACCGCACCACTCGTAGATGTTGTAGCCGAAGAAGTCGATGGAGTCGGCGGCTTCATCGCAGATCAGGTAGTTGGAGACGGCTTCGCGGACGGTGGCATCGTCGTCAGTGGCGTAGCCGACGGCGAGGGAGGTGCGATAGTTCTTTTGCTTGATGTAGGACTTCATATCGCGGACGGCGGCCTTGACGTAGGCCATGGAGTTGGTGTTGTTGACCTTGTTGGCGACCTCGTTTCCGGCGAAGAAGCCGATAACGTTGGGGTACTTGGCGAAGGCATCGACGACCTGGGAATAGCGAGTGAAGAGATCCGAGTTCCAGGTAGGGTCGTCGGACACAATAGATTCGCTAGGCGAGGACAGATCGGTGATCAGGTAGATACCGGCATCGGCGAGGGCGTTCATACACTCGTCGTGATCCTTGCTGGGGTCGACGGCGTATGTACGGACGACATTGGTGCGCAGTTGGGTCAAGTACGGAATATCACGCTTGCAGCTGTCGATGGCCAGCGGGTCGGTATATGAGTCCTTGCCGGAAGCACCATTGCGACCCGTGTAGTTGGGCTGGTACGCGACACCACGGATGAAGAACTCGGTGCCGTTGTTGGAGTAGAAGAACTTCTTGCCCTTGATCTCAATAGAGGGGATGTCGGCAGCCACGGCCGCTCCCAAAAGGGAGAGACCAGCAATGATAGAGGCTTTCATTGTGCAAGTTGAAATCCCAAAGAATGTCTAACGACCGGAATCAAAGCGAGTGTAAATAAGAGAAAGAATGGAAAACTAGGAAGGAAGAAAAGGGAGAAGGGGAAAGAGGACCCAAGGGGTGTACGCGCATTCATGTGGGTATACTGCATATCAATGGATTACATACAAAGAGTACATTGGTTTATTTTGTATTTATTGTTTATATTTGTTTTTTTTTCGTATCAAATTGAAAGATGTGATTGGCAATCCATGTGATGGATGCAACGGAAGAAGTTGATATCCCACGTCATTGGCCCTTACACTCCACCTCTCCACTGTGCCCTTCCTTTAAGCCTTTCCCGTTGAGTCTTATTTGTCACTGCCCCTGAAACAAGTGTATACGCTAGTAAGCCCGACGGCTGATGCTCGAAAAGACCCTGGGGGACCCTGACTGGAGGGTGATGTGGAGTCTCATTCGTCATTTTCTGGTATTAATCTATTGGAAAGTATCTTGTACGGAGTAACTTCAGACACAGCTAAGTAGTACGATGTAGTACAACGTATAGCCTACAATATTCTATGATAGACAAGACATGATTCTGTTCAAGCAAATTCAGAAAGCTTGTTCGTTGCCAAGGGCGATCGATGCGATGACGTCGGGGTGAAAATTCTGGGCATCCTTGGCCAAGGCTTGTATATCGTGATACTTAAGACGGAAATATAAGACATGATACAGTGTAAATCCCGTCCCAAATCATGGGCCTCATTGTAGCCCACAGAGAATACTTGTGTACAACATAGACGGGTACTCGTGGACTCCTGGGGAATTTCGGCCCAATCCACGGATCGCATTTATGATACATATTCTTCCAAGGTTGGAATGCTATACTTGTCAGTATATTATTGTAACCGTCTACTGATGAGGAAAAATCCATCGACATTTAGAAAATCCTTAAATTTGCACGGGCGATCAGGCGGCACAGCAGGCACTAATATTTCCTTCCATTAGGTTACCACATCCCTCTTTTCCATGGAAATAATTATGCCAATTCTTTTTCTAAAAAAAGCGCAGTCTACAACATACTTTGTGCAGCCCAACACATACCATTCGAGGCCAGGCAGTGCAGCTCAGGGGGTTAGCTGCACCCCTGAATATCAAATATCACGCCAAAAGCGGGCCTGAACATACAATATACATATTTGTACTACGATGAAGCCAATCCCCTCATGTTCGGGGCTTCATGGTGTTGCTTTACCAAGCTTTTGTGGCGGCCTAATAACCCGCTTGGGATGGAGTCGTGGTGGATTCTGTGTTTTATTATGTATCAGTACAACGTATGAGCCATATTATGGACGGGGCTGAGACAAAACTCTCACAGATTGGCTTGCTGTGAGACATGTTTATTTTTGTTCTACGGACTCACAAAGCGTGTTCCCCCGTTAATGTCTGTACCGGGGTACATGATAGACTTGTCAGTTAAATATGTATAGCAGGGTTTCTCTGTTCTGGACACTGACGATGCGCCGCCCTCGCAAAAGACCGACTTACCACAGCGAAACAGACATCATTCCCAAAGTTCAGGATACGTTTATTTGACTTGTCGTTAGAGCCGGAAGTAGAGCAAGCCACTATTCCTTGGCAATACGTGTGTAATACTCGCATCCAAACTGTCAGACACAGTGGATAGGCATTGAGCATATTGTACACTATCACACAAGGAACAAGAGCCATAGGATAATCGATGCCAAAATCTGACTAGGTAGGTATGAGACCTTTAGGATTTGCAAGATCATACAAGCCTGGGAGCAATTTTCAACCATTTGGCAATCACCCACGAGAATTTTCCTGCAATGCTCAACCCCCTGAAACCCTTTTCACCTCGTCATCAGCCAAAGATTTGGACGCTGTACAGGAATGATATGGCCGTTTGTCGTCCAAATGGGAATTTGACCAACCTTGCGAGATCTATCCCTCTTTTTTTTTTTATAAAGACAGAGAGTGTAAATAATATGAAGCAGAAAAATTAGGTGTTGCCAGATAGAAAAATCCCTGGGAACTGAAAGCCCTGGCTCAAAGGGGCTAGCGTGAAACTGGTAGGCAGCAGCTATTTTAAGGCCCATAAGATGCCCCAGAAATCCATAGGGCTGAATTTTTTTCCCTTCCTGTGAAGATGACATTTGCTTTTGATTCGAGTCTTCTGACTTTCCTTTTGTTATGCCTGACTCTGCCTCACTTCACTTCAGCAACCGACCGCCGGCCTTACAGCACAGACACCAACCAACGCAACAGAACTGGAAATGTGACAACAACTATGTCAGCAACTCAGCTGGCTGAGCTGAGTGTCTCATGGATATATATTTTCTCGGAATGACGATAACCATTCGATTTACTTTTATCAAACAGCAAGCCCAAGCCACCGACATCCGCAGTACCTGCTTGAGGACTGGTTGGTCACCGCCTCGTTACAAAGAGCCTGCCTACACTGTTGTATAGCATTGTCAATATAGACACTGTCATGCCTAATGATAGGAATCAGGTCCATGTTCCCTTTTGGGGGGGGGGGGGGGGGGCGTGCCCTATCTTACCAAGGTTCCCCCGGGGCCCGAGGGCGCTTGCTTAGGCGACTACGGGAGCTGCCTGGGCAGTGCTCACACAGGTACCAACCAACAACATTGAAAACCAACACGTGACCGTTTCATCATGCGTTTGACTTCGGAAAGCAACACGATGACATAAAAGAAAAGGGGTTGTGGCGCTCAGGAGTACTGTGGAAATCAATACGGAGTGTACTCGAGACTTGATTGACCAACAATGCCAAGAGCGGGTCAAAACCCCCTACACAATTTGTGTTGGAAATTTGCTCCCAATAATGAGCGGAAGACCCATTATTGTGATCTTAGCCTTTGTGCCATGATACATTGTTAACATCTGCAGGAATGCCCGAGCAAATTCAGATGCGGTGTGACGATGCTATTTTCAAGATTGATCTCAAAGCAAGTTTCCAAGGCTGTGCCAAGCAACCCAAGCACAAAACAGCAAAGCTTCCACCGGCGAAGCTTTCGGTTCCAAGATTTTGAGTGGCGCTGCTGGATCCAACGCATCAACTTGTCTGACGCAGTTTGGGCATTTATATAATTGGGCTTGGAACAAATACTTATCATGACCGGGTTTCTCAATTACTTCATACCAATCTCGCGATCCGATGCCTTTTCTACTCCGTAGACGCTAGGCTCATATTTACTCCACTCTACGCACCGCACCATCAAGATCGCCCCGGACGAGTGTGGCTGTGTTTTCTCAACTCTTCTCGAAGTCTGTTAGAGAAATCCTGGAAAATTGTTAGCAGACGAATTTTATCCCTTCATTTCCCAGTCCCTCCTTTTGCTCTCTTTCTGACCGTACTCGTTTCATAATTGTCATTCGTTTGGTCTTTGTTGATTTCCTGTTTACCCCTTGCTTTGGCGCGATTCTCACCGTTCCCCTGTGCGCGTGCGCCATTATCTTGGTCCCCTTTGAACGTCACGGATCCGCTCATTCATCATCCTGCTGTGGCTGTATCTTGAGACTCACCCCCATACAGCGCTTAGACTGCCGTAATCGCTTCAGCCTGTCAACCTACTGAGCTACCCGCATCTCGAAACTGTTAGCAAGTACGTGTTCCCTCAGCCCTTTTTATAGACATCAGTCGCAAGCGTCGCAGGCCCAAGCCACGGTGTGGCGTCTATCTATTGGGCCATATTGAATGAACCTCACTGCTGTCCTCTTTACTCCCAACCGTCGTTGCTTTGTCTCTTTCCCCTTGAAATATATCTCGCAAGACTATACTTACGCATCCATCTCTCTATAAAGGCCCCCAAAAATCCACCATCATGTGTAAGTCCAACGTCTATAGATATCAATCTCTCAACTGGCCAGCCATACTAAGAACACAACTAGTTTCAACCCGCAGCGCAGCCAACCGTCTAGCACGACGCAGCAGCGGAGAACGCTCCTGGAACCCATACCAAATGTTCGGCCAAAAAACACACAACCGATCGAACTCTATGCAGCTCGAGAATGGATTAGCCCATTCCCAGACCCTAGGCGACCTCCCAGCAGACCAGCATCGCCGAGAGGAAATGAACGCCGGTATTAGCGCTCCGGAGTACTCGAACACGTTCCCGGCAGAGTTCGTTGGCAGCGACCATGAAACACACAAGTCTCCGCCTGAACCGTCCATGGCTAGCCAGGATCCGATCAATGTTTCATCAGTGCGCGGCGTTGATACTGAGACTGTTGGATCGGCGCAAACGCGTCAGCGTAAGGGTGGCATCTTGGGCAAGTTTAAGCATCGCCATGATGGCGATGAGTGGGAGGATAAGAAGCCGCATCAGAAATTCACTTTTGTCTCGCAGTTAAGGGCTACTATCTTGAATTCGTGGATCAATGTTCTTTTGGTTGCTGCACCTGTTGGAAGTATGTCTCGCTCTTCCTGCTGGCTGTTGATTATGGAAATGAGTGTGCTAATTATATGTCTGTGTGCAGTTGCGCTTTATGCCGTTGGCGCCAATCCGATTGCGGTCTTCGTGGTGAACTTCATTGCTATCATGTGAGCGATTTATACTGGTTATCTTTGAGGATATTATGACTAACGGACATCTACTAGTCCCCTTGCTGCTATGCTCAGTTTCGCAACTGAAGAGATTGCCCTTCGGTATGCTTTAATGTTTCCAGGTCCATTTCTGCTATACTTACATTTCTTTCAGCACGGGCGAAACAATCGGCGGTCTGCTTAATGCCTCGTTCGGGTATGCTTTATATTACCCGTTGTCTCCTTTCGTAGCACCATTTCTAACCCATATAGTAACGCCGTCGAGCTGATCGTTGCAATCATTGCGCTGGTCCAAGGCAAAACCCCCATCGTGCAGACATCACTCATCGGGAGTATTTTATCTAACCTGCTCCTGGTGATGGGCATGTGCTTTTTCCTCGGTGGTATCCCCCGCGTAGAGCAAAATTTCAACGTGACTGTTGCCCAGACAGCCGCGAGTATGCTCGCATTAGCTGTTAGCAGTTTGATCATCCCCACTGCCTATCACAGGTGGTCTAATCGTCAGTCATGCATCCCAGGACCAAGTCAACACGAGAGCTAACAAGAATATTGATTATAGTTGAAAACGGAGACAGCACTGCCGCTCTATCCCGAGGTATGTCACTTGTTAACACTTTCCAGCCTGCCTGTGTCTATCGCTTGATCTATCTTACTCACACTGCACCACAGGCACGAGTGTCCTCCTTCTAATCGTGTACGGCTGCTACCTCTTCTTCCAGCTGAAGTCGCACGCCGATATGTACAACCGACCCAGCGAGAAGGTCGAACGGCGACACGCAAAGGTCGGCGAAGGCGACGCCAGTCGGGGTATTGCCCAGATTGGCAAAATGACTGCCGTGCCGTTGGTTGGGCAGAACGCAGACCACATGCAAATGGATGATCATGATGACACCGAGGAGCCGCAGTTGTCTATTGTGTCTGCCATCCTCACGCTGATTATCTCGACTGCGTTTGTTGCTACGTGCGCTGAGTTCATGGTATGCATATTCACCTTTCTTCTAGATCAGTTCCGGAAGTTGCTTTTTTTTTCCTTTTGTGTGATTGTGCTAAGCTCATTTATCTATGCAGGTTGAATCTATCGACGCCTTGACGGCTACCGGTAACATTGGCGAGACATTCGTCGGGCTGATCCTTCTGCCTATCGTTGGTAATGCGGCTGAGCACGCTACCGCGGTGACAGTCGCATGCAAGGATAAGATGGATCTTGCTATTGGTGTCGCAGTCGGATCCAGCATGCAGATTGCACTGCTTGTGCTGCCGCTGATTGTTGTTCTTGGGTGGATTATTGGTGATGAGGATATGGTATGAGCCCTATGTGGAAGATTTATTTGAAATGGGAGCTGGTACTGACTGCGACAGACTCTCAACTTCGATGGATTCCAGGTGATCGTACTATTCATGTCTGTTCTTTTGGTAAGTGGATTCGGTTCATGGCGAGAAAGCGATATCATTGTACTGACTGTTGTCTCATAGGTCAACTACCTCATTGGTGATGGCAAGTCTCACTGGCTCGAGGGTGTCTTGTTGATGATGATGTACCTCATTATCGCTCTTGCGGCTTGGTATGTGGTTTTTATAGATGGTCGACAAGTGTCCGTTACTGATTGCGTCTCTAGGTTCTTCGTTTAAACCCTCACACTCATTGTAGTCATCGGGCCGGGTTCTCGTTGACGATACGATATCGATCTTCTAATCTACTATCCCAATCCGGCGGACATCTTTTAGTTATTACTTCTCTTCTTTGTATCATGTTCATTGGCTTCGATTTTGGATTCTATTATGATCGCTCATAATATACCCACTTTGGCGGAGCTTTTCTTTTCATGTCCAACACATTTTTTGATTTCTTTCTCTACCAAACGACTGATATAATACTCCATATCAAAAACAATAAAACCGAGACCAGAGCTTTTCACTTAACCGGCCTGATAGATTAGGCTAAAAAGTAGAGATAACCCGGTACCCCCGGGGAGTGGGGATAGGGCTCGGGATTGAGCCCCCGAATTCAAGTCAGCAGACGCGCACAAATCAGCAGAGTGCAATTATGCTAATATCACAGTATATTAAGGCCCCCGAGGCACACTTTAGCCATCGGAGAATTACCGGAATAAACAATCATGCACGGTAGGCTCGATGTCCCAATCCGGACTCGGGAGACTCGGTATCCCACCGATGTTCTAACCGAGCCGATGTGGGGAGGCATTGTTCTTGGCCTGTTCTTTCGAATTTCACGTTTACTATGGGGTACGGAGTACTCCGTAGTGGAAGTTCGGGATGCACCTTCCCATGGTTTTACTTTTTAACGTTTAGCCTGTAAAATTTTCAGACATTTGGTACTAGAGTTGGAGTAAAAGATCATGATATGAAATAATTAGTACTAACCACGTGCCGATACGTTATATAAGGTCGGCAACTACTCCGTGCCGAGAAGGGACAGGCAACGGAAAAAAGAAATTTGGTCCCGAACGTTTTGACAATTTAGACTAGAGGCTTATTTATCAGTATTTCCAAACGGCAATCGGATAATATCAGGGTGAAAACGGGGGAAAAAGATGACCAAGAGAGTTTCCTTAATTAACCTTGTCACCTGAGATATTAGGTGGAGAATGTGAAAAGTACAAAGTTCCTTATGTCATGAAAATTGTATGGAAATTTCCTTTTTAAGCTTCCCCCTTTTATAAAAGTCGGAGAATTTATAGGCACATGACCATTGCCATGAGTTTAACGTTACTTATATAAATGCTACTCTATACTCTATGTTGCAGCACTCTATTATGGTATATTATACCATCTTGAAAGGATGAAAAAAGTTCGACTTACCTAATATAAAGTAAATGCGGGGTCCGGGGTCCAATCGCTGGCGCCTCGGAGGTTGTGGTCCAATCGCTGAATCGGACGAAGCCGAAATGTGACCGGGGGGAAAACTCGGTGTATGATCTTTCCGATGTGTGACATTCTTGAACATGTGTATAACCTCGGAACTACACTATGAACTCCGTAAGGGATGAAACAACTGCAGTCGGCCTCGGACTGTTTGCACTTATGAAGTATAAGGATGGCAGCAGGACGGTCAACCCAGCCCAATTGACTATCCCATGAAATATGCGTGTTCTTCCGACGTGGCAATTCGTTCGACCCTTCGGCAGAGACCTGATCCCTTCCCCGATTCTTGTGACGGGTGGCAAGGGGGTCAATGGGGGAAAAAAACAGGCCACATTGTAGGAACGTCACACGGAGACCGCGTCAAATACGGGAGGTGAGAGGTGAAGGTCACAGCCGACGCCAATCAAAGGGTAACTCTCAATGTAACTTCCGTGAGGATCTAGGATCTCGCTTCTTTGCGGGGAGCCCCGACCAGGGTTGGTCTTGGAAATCGTTGATTGGATGCTATATCCCCTTCTCCCCCAGATTGATCCTCCTATAGGCTACGTCGATAGCAGGTTTACCCATGTTCTGGGGACGAGGCTATACCCGAGGGATCCAAATGGCCCGAGATACCCCTCTTGAGAGAAAAAAACAACCATGTGGAAAGAAAAAAAAAAAAAAAAAAAAAGAAGGCTTATGATCCGGTCCACTGGTTTTTTTGGCATCTTGTGGAGTCACCATTCGGTTCTCGGTTCTTTTTTCTACTGATTCTGGATACTCGCTGTACTCTCCGAGAATACCCCCATCAGGGTACACTCTTTACTTCCCGCTTTCCTATTCTGGCGTTCCCGACGCGGGAAGAGACGGTGTATGGATTTCCCGCCCAGACAAATGCCGATCGGACATCAGCTGCCACGGGGGTAGACCTAGTTCAATTGCCTAGGTAGAGTTGAAAGGTACCTTTGTACTCCGTACGGAGTACGGAGTACCCTAGGTACAGAGAGGTCTAGGCCATGGAACCAGGATGTACAACATTGCATGTCTGATGTTCCCCAAAATCTACCGATCCCCCAGATTTGGGGGCTGTTATGATTTATCCTCACGGGCCCCATCTGGAAGAAAAATGCCGGAGAATGGCCGGAGGACAATCGGCCGGCGAGTGGACGGGTATTGTTATTCCAGCGAGTCCGGGTGGTTTGGATATGAATTTGGCCTGGTAGAAAAGACAATGTCCTACTTGACAGACCAAATTGTATTCTTTTTTTTTTCCCCTTCTTTTTTTTTTTTTCGGACCGTAAGCTGAGCCCGAGTCGGGTAGAGATGCGAGATGACGATCATGAGATCACAGAAAAGTTGGGGATATTCCCTCTTTAGGCCAGCCAGGGTATTTCCCGTGCCGAGAAGGTATTAAAGGCAAATATGTTATATGTTATATATTATATGTTATATGTTTTATGTAGTATATATGTTATATAGTTATATAGTTTTAAAATATAAAATACATTTTATAATATGCTACGAGTAATAGGAACTACGTAACTCGGCAGCCCGGAAACTGGGGATGCTCCACCTCCAGGAAAAAGCGCGTCCTTGCATATTTTTGGGCCCTCCGCAATTTGCAGCGGCTCTTGATTTTTTCTCGGCTTTTTTAGATTTAATTTCTTTTCTTTTTTTCTTCCCCGGTCGAGACATTTCCCCGTTCCCTTCCGACTTGTATTTCTCCCGGTCCGGTGCCCCGACTCTTTGAGTTTCCCCCACACTCCGCCAATTCCGTTTAGCCCTTTCCCTTCTTCACCTAAGTAAGTTGGCTTGTCCTCCGGCATCTGCAATGCTAACTGAACCATCAGAAGCCGTCGCTTTAATCCATACCCCAAAAACAACTCTGATACGGATAGTAAATGGGAGAATCGCGATTTGATACAAACCGAGCCGTTACCTATCCGCTTCGGATCTGTCTAATACACCATGCGGTCCAGCATCGCTTGCGCTCGATGCCGGCGCAGTAAGATCAAGTGCGTCAATGCCGGCATCGATACAACCTGTCGCGCGTGTGAGTCGTCCGGGCGCGAATGTGTCTACCCAACCCCAGCAATCGGAGTGAGCGGCGCCAAACGAGATTTAGCCACACTGGCAGAAGGCGAGGATCGAAATGGTGACTGGGATGGTCCGAAACGACATCGCTCGCGCAAGGTGGTAGGCATCTCTGGCTCCTCGGCTGGTTCCAAGCTCGGTATGGATGCGCTGGATTCCTCGATACTTACAACAAAGGTTTGGGAGGCCGTCTTCGATCTTTTTCAATCACATTTCGCGACCCTTCTACCCTTCCTACATCCTGCGACCTTCCTCAGCCAGATACGACAGCTTTCCTCTCCTCCCGCGACACTCGATGGACAAGATCCCCGGAATCCCGTGTATAAGGTCGACCCGTCTTCGTCCCTTATTCCCCTGGGTGTACTGGCCTTGACTGCTCGCTTTCACCCTCCGTTGGCGGCAGCTCACTCACCAGCATCACCTAGTCATTCTCCGAACCCACTCGCCGCATCGGAATACTATGCGGCAGCCCTCCGCAGCCGGCTGGCCGGCTTGGATGGCGCTTGTCTCGCTCAGCCTGATCTTGCGCGCGTACAGGCGCTATTAATGCTAGCCTTGCACGAGTGGGGAATGTGCCGAGGCAAGAGTGCTTGGGTCTACGTGGGCATGGCTATCCGTCTTGCACAGGCCATGGGTCTGCCCTTTGAACTTGAAAATGAATTCCCACCGCGCGATCCGTCACGCTTCTCCCCCGGCTTGAAAACTGAGGCAGATCATTTCGGGTTGCCACGGCGTGCAGAGCCCAGGGAGCCGACCTCTGATGATATCATTGCGCAAGAGACCAAGCGCCGGACATTTTGGGCCTGCTTCATCCTGGATCGATGCCTCAGCAGTGGAAAGTATCGCCCTCGGATGGTCCGAGTTAAGGAACTCGGAATTCAGCTTCCGAGCGACAATGCTTTTGCTTTTGGCGAGCGGGTGAGAACGGCCCGACTCAATGAACCGACCGTTCGGCGTCCGCAGAGCTTCGGTTCCCAAAGCATGCAAATCCCTAGCATCCGTCAAAGTATAGGAGGCTTTGGCGAAGAAAAGCTTCCAGGGCCCAATGGCACCCCAGATGGCAAGTCTTGGTCACCTATCTCTCGCCGCAAGGACTCGAGCGAGGAAGAGGTTGATCGATGGGAGGTAGGTGCAGAGGAGTCGGTTCTCAGCCGGGTTATTCGCATCATTCGTATCTGGGGAAGCATCGCCAAATGGTCGTGTGCCGGCGGTCGACGCACAGAGCAATATCCTCCCTGGCATCCTGAATCTCGCTTTGCCTCGCTCCGTCAGCAGTTGAACGAGTTCCAGGATAGTCTTTCTCGCAATCTGCAATATTCCCTGCGAAATACCGACACACATATCATGTACAAGACTACACTGGCTTCATACACTGTGATGCATGTTGTCTACTTCCTATCGGTGATCGTCCTTCACCGTGCCTATATTCCATTTCTACCTCTCCGCTGCAATGAGCCTTCAGGCCCCTTGGATGAGCCGTTGTTCGCTGTCGACAAGGTCAATGGCCCACCCGACGGTTTCTGGCGGGATAGTGCTCGTGAGCTCTTCAAGGCAGCGCGGCAGATGATCGACCTTGTGGCGACCTGCCAAGCCCGCAGTGCTCTTGTTGAGAACCCCTTGGTCGGATTTGCTATCTACAATGCCGCTTTTGTCGGTGTCTATGGAACACATTTCCCACACATGGATCCAGATGGATTGATGGGAAGTAAGCCGCCCCCTGCGAGCCATGATAGCCACCAGCTTGGTGTCGCACAGGCACGCAAGGCCTTGGATATCATGCGAGAGATGCGGCCTCGTCTGAAGATGGCGGTGGGCTGGTTCCGTACCCTTAATCGCCTTCACAGCTACTTCTCCAAAGTCAAGCGCGATTTCCGCCGGCTTTCTCGGAATCGCCTGGATAGCATGTCGGATGCCTCTGACCACGCCCTCAATGGTATTCGCCCTCTCCGAGAAGGCGGTGCTGGTGGTGGCCTGGAGGAATTCAAGTTGCTTGAAAAGCTTTTCCTCGACTTTGGAAGCATCGAGGACCAGTTAATAGAGCCTGGTATGGATGAGGACAGTATTGCAGTGCCCGCAGCAAACGAGTCCCTCTACGAGCGGAATATGAGTGATGCTGGAAGCAACGCCGTCAGGAGCGAAACTGGTGATCCTGGTGACCAGATGCTTGACGGTGCCGGTGGTCGTCGCGAGTCCTGGGTCCCGGTCAACAGCCCGGGTCTGTCGCTACCTGGACACGACGGCGATCGCCGTCCCAGCCTACCCCTTCCCAACAGCCGCCAAATGCCATCTGGATCCCCTTACTCACTCCCATCCCTTCAGCAACATCACCCAGACGGCCCCATCTACACCACCTCATCTCCCAGCTTCCCCTCTCTATCCGCAACTACACAGTCCCCATCTCAGTACTTGACGGCAACAAGCAACCGCCTGAACCCCATCAACTCCTGGCTCCCAGCCCGCCCGCAGGCTCCTCCCCCGCCATACTCCCAATCCCTCCCTCCCATCAACGCAGCCACCTCACACACCATCCCTGTCCTTCCTCCACCGGGATCCGTTACTCAACTGGCCCCCTCCCCGCCTTTGACCTCAACCGAATGCCCAGACTCAACCTTGTTATCAACAAGTCTCGGCGGAGACGATGTCCTCGCCTTCTTGGATGGGTGCGAATGGGGCCAGCTATCCATGCTCGCGCCTTCTGAGATTGGTATTCCTGCCGGTTGGCTGAGCACGGTCTGGTCCCAATTCGGCCGCTAGAGTTCCCAAGAGAGATCATAGCTCTCTGTTGCAGCTCTTCAGCCGGCGCCCATTGAAGCAGTGGCACAAAACGCCTCGCTTCATTGTATTATTACTCTTTACGACTTCCCTCGTCCGTTACGTCTTACGTACTGTACGACCATCTCTTTCATTCTCTCCTTTCTATCTATGATTGCCGGCGACTCAAAAAAATGGGACATTCGAGCCTGCGGAAAATCCTCCCGAGTGCCGAAGGCAGGCGAATTGAACTCCAAATCCAATCATTTCCTCTCCTAATTTGGCCACTACATGGATTAGTCCAGATCAGGAATTGAAAACGGGATCACGAAGATTGATTATCACCTATACCCAGTGCGCGCGACCTCGTCTTTGTTTTGTTCTTGCTATTGTTTACTTGCTACATGCTTTCTTTTCTATTGTTTGGGTTATGTTGTTCAACATGCGCGAAAGGCGTTCCTCGTGGTTTCTAGCCGAAACCCGAGCTGATTATTCATTTATCGTCAAAGGTTATTTTCCCCCTATTGATATTTGGTCCGTTTGTTTCGAGCGAAATTTGGGATGGCACGGAAGCCCGGAAGCGTGGCCGGGTTTTTCGACATTGATTCATTTCTCCTGTCGGTTTTTATGTTTTGTGTATTGTTCCGACTGAAAATGTCGGCTTTTTTGGGGATACGTTTATGATAGTCTAGGCGTTGCACTTGTGTCTTGCAAACTGCAATTCTCTTGGGTCAATTCATCTGCCTCTATGGCTGTTCTTTTTCAATTCCCTACCCGGTTTCTTTTCGACCTAGGGTCAAGATAACCCACTGCCGTAACGCTTATAGAGCAGATACCGACGGACCAGCGGGTTATGTTTTATCGACTTGCCGTTCCTCGGTTTGCGGCTAAATGTTTTATTCGCCCCGACGAAAATAGGGAAACGATATTAGATGTCGTAGTAACATCTTCTATGCAACGTCTCTGATATAGTTTCCGGACGCTTATATCTTGGGTTTCCATGCCATATATGACAGCTTTCAGTGATATCTTCTAAGACTAGGTTGTCTGTTTATTTTTGAAAATCTTAAACAGACCATGAACACATAGAACACTAGGGAGATAATGAAAATACCCCGGGATTGCTCTTACGACCCGAGGCAATCTACTCCGTATGGTCCGAGGGTTTCCCCAAGCTACACCTCCACCCCGAAGTTTTGTTTTCCATGTGACATCTTCCCTAATTGTTCAATACAACCTCAGGTGCTTGGGGTTATGCATGTACTAAATATACATACTTAATATTGATGCTATATGTCGTCATTGTCAACGAGGCGACACAAGTAGCCATCTGACTATTCTTATATTACCTACCCTCCTCCACCTCCACGATCAGCAAATAATAAACATAGGCAAAAAAAATAAAAACATACAACAGTGAGGATTCGCTGGTGGTCACCCACCCAACTACTAACTCACCGGCGTGTGGCTTAAGTACGGCTGAGCGGACGGGAAGCCCTGTTTTCCACACCCTATGGTCGTATGTACAGATAAATATCTGGGAGAGGATTATAGAGCCAAATCAATTTAGAATTGATTGATGAGATATGAGTGAGCGTCGCTTTATTACAGGTGTTGGGTAATTGAACATGATACTCAACGGAGGGTTCCTCTATCCAGTATTCATATTCCATTAGAGACATCGAAAAGAGAGGATAGGGGTGCACAAGTGTCCACTCCGTGTGATCTAATCACTGTAGGATCCGGAGTACCATTGGAAGTATCTACCTGTCAAGTCGCACTTACCGAAACCTGGTAGATATGACAGGAGCACGTGCCTTCCGAAGTTTCCTACGAACCCTGTCGATCATAAGAGTTTTGTCTCTTAACATCTTCGCCTTTTGACCTTCACCCTTTCATATCTTTATCACCGAGAAGAATCGAGCCGGCAAGCTGGTTTGACTGGCCCAAAAGAGAAGGGGCCGCACAACGGCCCCCATCAGCACCCATCATGTTGACACTGGTTAGGGCACTGCTGCCATATCAGCTTTGGTAGCAGATATTTTCCCCATGCTTCTGGGTTAGTTATGGTGAGATTGTCATATGAATTTGTCACTGTACAGGATCTGCAGGATCTGCAGAATACATGCTGACCTATGGTGCAGTTCGTGCCCGGTCAGAGCTCTGGAGGACAGCAGCGTCCGCAGGGGCGGCTGTCGAAAAGCAATGCAGAGAGTAAGTAATTTTCTATGTTCTTGAAAATGCGCCCCAGATAATCGACACACTGTTCTGGCTATGGCTCCGTTTTTACATTGTCTGGCACACCTTTTCCGTCGTTGTGGACCACATTATGGTTCCCCTCGTCATTATTCTTGCAAAGAAGGCCTACATGTTTATTCTTAATATCATGCTCTGTAGCTACTCCTTTTATGGGTGAGATCACATTGAAGACTGATAAATTTGACTTTCGAAAGTAGAAGTGCTGTTTCAGAAGTCAAGACTACATATTAAGATATCCTCGTAGACTAGAACGTGGCTATGGCCCTGTGCAGCTCACTGAGAAGAAAATTGTTGATTTCCGTAGCCTCTGCTCATCCCCATCTTTCTGTTCTATTTCGCGTTTCGCCTTGCTGTTACCCTTTCACCGCGTCCCAAAAACGAGAAAGAAGCAGAACTCTACCCACAAAACGGTCATGGCCATTCGTTTGGCTATACCGATCCCCTCCTTCACGAGCCGGAAAATTTCAGCCGACACGGACTCTTCCTGGTCCCGGGGACGCAGGGAAATTGGAGCTAAAAAAAAGGGTTAGAAAGACACCTGGAAAGAGAAGAGACCAAACTTACCAGCAGAGGAGAGAGAGAGCTGCAAAAGACAGTTAAAAAAAAAGGATAAGACAGGCATTGTGATGATGTGATGTGTTATTGATGCCTACGTATGTTTCGAAATGATGAAAGGTGAAGATTCGAAATGCGCTACGAGATTACTCTGTACACTTTAGAAGTAATGGCTTGTAGGGAAGGTATGACTGCAGTGGGTTGTTAGGAAGGTACACTCATCCTAAATACAGCGATAGCAAGTATCATAGGTACAACAATATCCATAAAACCTTGGCAGACAATCAGCCAGACCTGTCTCTCTTGTTTGCCTTGTCTTTTGGGTCAATCTGCCCATAGCTTGGTGGCGCATCAATCATATCAAACGGGCTGTCATAACTATCACAAACAAGCCCCTATATTACGACTCGCATGATTCGATGCCTTGCAAGTTCGATTATTTCTTTACGACATTGTTCCTTCAGTGATTCCTTATCTTTTTCAGAAATATCGGAGCCTCGAGCTCTCCGACAACATCCACATTCGAATGTATAATGTCCAACCTGAAAGGGTGATGACTTAATGTTTCGTATTCCAACCTTGCAAGGTTGGAAAGTTGCTTAATTAGATCCGATCATAAGGTCAATACACTTTGGCTACGCAAGACAAATGAGAAGCCAATTTCTGTAGGTAAATACTTCTAGTTTATTCATATTCCCTCAATCTTATAGAAATGCGGGATTTGTGTATCAGAACACTTTGAAAGTAGATTTAATGAAACTTGGCATCAATTATATTGTCACTGCCTGAGCTAGACATACATGAAGGCATTACTAGAGGGGAAGCTCAGTGCCATTTGCCGTTACAGGGTAGAGATGGTCTCTCTGCAGTTCTCGCACGAAGTTGGTCTTCTTTTTTGGATATCAAAACTGCGCGTCTCAAAGTAGCCATTTTCAAGAGCCGATTTACTGTTAGGGCTAGGCCGTGAACGTCAAAGGACTTCACAATTCATTAACACTGTCCACTCAACCAAAAGAACCCTTTAGAGATTATCAACTCTGAGAGTAGACAAAACGTGAGCAACAGTCTGCACATCCTTATCACCCCGCCCACTAAGGCAAACAACAACATCCCGTCCAGGTCCCAACTTCTTTGCAACACGCACAGCTCCAGCAACAGCATGCGAGCTCTCAAGTGCAGGCATAATTCCCTCAAGCCGACAGAGCAATGAAAAGGCCATCAGGGCTTCCGTATCATTTGCCGCAATAAAAGTAGCCCGGCCAGACTCTTTCCAACTCGACAACTCAAATCCAACACCAGGGTAATCAAGCCCAGCAGAGACAAAATGCGTGTGGCGAATTTCCTCGTCCTCATCCTGAGGCAAAGAATTGCGCAACCCGTGCAATACACCGACAGACGCACGACCCAGCGAAGAAGGGTGCTGCTCCGCCAGAGACCCATCACCACCCGCCTCGACGCCAACAAGAGCAACAGATGAATCTTCCAAGAAGGGATAGAACATACCGACGGCGTTAGACCCACCGCCAACACAAGCAACAATCGCATCAGGCAATCTACCGGAATTCATCGCGCCGAATTGAACTCGAGTCTCCGCACCGATGACAGCCTGAAACTTGCGCACGATAGTCGGATACGGATGCGGGCCAAACGCCGAGCCAATAACAAAATGTGTCGTCTTCAGCTCCCTCGCCCAGGTACGGAAGGCCTCGTTGACTGCGTCCCGAAGGGTACCCTTTTTGCCACCACCCGCGGCGTCAACGGGGTTAACCACTGCACCGAGGATCCGCATGCGCAGGACAACCAAAGGCTGGCTTTCAAAGTCCTCGGAGCCCATGAAAACGGTGCATTTAATGCCGAATTGAGCGCATATAGTTGCTGTTGCGACACCATGCTGGCCAGCGCCTGTTTCGGCGATTATGGAGGTTTTGCCGAGTCGTCGGGCGAGGATTATTTGACCCAGGGCGTTGTTGATCTTGTGACTGCCAGTGTGGTCGAGATCTTCGCGTTTCAGCCAGATGCGTGCTCCGCCTGCGTATTCTGTTAGGCGTGGGGCTAGGTGGAGGGAGGAGGGCCGGTTGGCATATGCTGCGTAGGAGTTGATTTCAGCCCAGAAGGTCGGGTCTGCGTTTGCTGCCTCAAAGCCGTTCTCTAGCTCGGTGATGCCTTCGATTAGGAATCCTGGGACATATTGGCCGCCGAAGGTTCTCAGGCGGGTGTTTATGTCTCCGAGACTGGTGGTCTTGTCGGTTTTTTTGGGTGTATCGCCTGCTCCATCATAGGAAAGGTAGATAGTAGTGGAAGATAAGGATTGGGTGGATTGATTTTTTCTTTCTGTTATGACAATTTCATGCTCGGTGCGTCCAGCAACTTGAAGACAGTACTCCTTGACCTTCTGAGCACCAGTTCCAGGAGCCGTGTTTCCCAGTATGGAGATGATTGGGCTGCCGATGACGACCCCTTCAGCGGGACGAGCAATATCGACAAAGCTTTCTCGGGTGTTGATACCGAACCCGACAGCTACCGGGACTAAGTTCTCGGTGCAAGCATGCATACGATGGAGCAGGTCTCCCACACACTCGTACGGCTTTTCATGCATTCCGCTAACTCCCATCCTAGCTGCAATACAAACAAACGAGTCGGCGATGTTGCAAAGCATCTTCAGGTGAGCATTCGGGGTGGAAGAGGCAATGAGAGGAATGTAGGATAGCCTGGGATCTTAATTAGCCGCGTAAAAATGTAAGCCCGGAAGATGAGATCCACAGACCCTTTGGACTTGCATAAATCACGGAACCACATCACATTATCAGGGGGAACATCAACAATAATAAACCCGTCCACACCAGCAGCCTTGCAATCTCGAAGTAGCTTCTGTTCTCCGTAGGCATAGGCACGCACAGGGTTGTAGTACCCTACCAGCAGTACTGGGACAGCTAGACCTTGTTTACGGGCTGACTTGACCATCTGTAGGATGTGTGAAATTTCAACGCCGTTCTCGAGGGCCTTCGCATTGGCCTGCTGGATAGTTGGGCTTTCGGTCACAGGGTCTGTGGAAGGAATCCCAAGTTCGATGATATCTGATCAGATGGTATAATTAGATGATGTTGAATACATGAGGTTACATGTCTCATGAGAGAGACACGAGTAAAATAAAGCCTACCAGCACCCCCGGCCTGCATGGACATCATGATCTCCGGTGTTTCGCTAACGGTTGGATAGCCAGCTGTCACGTATGTGATCAAAGCAGCACGACCTTTGGCCTTGCATTTTGCAAAGGCTTCGTTGATGGCTTCCATGTTGTTGTAGATCGAGAAGACAAGAGTTATTCTGTTGAGGAGGGAGTACTGTCGCAATGTAGTGGACAGGGGAGATAAGAGGAAAATAAACGTGAGAGGAAAGAGGGATGAGAGGGAAAGAGAAGCGAGAGATTGAATCTGCACCTACTTGAGCTTATAGTAACAGCTTCTCACTTGGGATAATTATGTTGGAGGCATTGCCCCTGAGGTCTGCCTGTTTGCTCCCCAGGTCCTCTCTTCCGGCCATATATATTTTTCTCTCTTCTGTAGACATTCATTCAAGGCGTTTCTCCTAGCGATTTTGTCATGATCATAGAGAGGGGACTCAGAACCGTCAGTGTCCCAGATAGGGAGTACATATAAAATGTCGATTATACGTGCCACGGGAAATCAATAATCGCGTCACCAGCTTAAGCACAATGGCCCGTTGGCGAGTCTCCAGCCCATTTGGTAGATCAGCTATTTACCTATCTGTTTACCCTCCTCGCTAGATCCAAGGCTCGAAAACTGAAATTTGCGAATAGCATGTCCCTTCCACATGAGCAGCATAACAAACATAAATGAGAACACCGCAAAGAAAGCCATCATACCATAAACCCAGCCAACATCAACAGCCTCAACCCAAGGATTGATGTAGAAACTAATTGTCAATCCATAGACGATGCGATAGGCACCGATAACAATACCAGCCTCAGCCGGATACCGCGTAAAACACTCGACAACGTAATTCACCGTAACGGGAACACTAGCCAGCGACCCAACAGTGACAACAAAGACCGCCAGAGCTAGTACCATATAGTGCAGATGATACTGCAACGCGGCACCAAAAATGCCCAGCCCAATTGGGTTGATCACAAGACTAGGAAGCCACAGGACATGCAGTCGATACTCGGGTTTCCAGACACCGCCGTTGTACCGTCGCGCCAGTGCGAGTGGCAGTCGATCGTTCAGATAGTGGCCGTAGAATTGAACGACGATGATGCCAATCCAATGGCAGAATGTGAATGCCGCGTTTTGTTCCAGTGAGAACCCATAGCCACCTTCTAAAATGGGTTTCTGGAGCCATACCGGTGTCAGTGCGTTGACGCCCACGTAGAATCCAAAGGAGATTAGTGTGAATATTCCCATGATCATAGTTACAGGACACATTCCGATTAGGAAGGGGGTGATTCCGACTTTGGCCTGTCCGATTAATGTTAGATCGAACTTGATTCTTCTGGTATGGCATAGAGCCTCGGGGTTTCCCTGTACATACCGTCTCTTTCCAGGTAGTCGGCAAGACAACCTTCTGCCCGAAGAAGAAAGTAGCGAATTTACTAGCCAAAATTTCACATGGAATATCCGGGTTCCTTTCAATGCATTCACGGTCGAATCCAGTTTCCTCAAGGAAACAGAAACAACAGATAAGCGTGAACCCTAGCAGACCAACCGTCCACCAAAACTCAACAGGGAAAAACGAGTGCGCAGAAACAAAACCCGAGAATGTAGGACCGGCAATAGTTCCAAACAAGAACGCCATATGCAAAGCAGTAAAAGCGCGGCCTCGCTGATGCAAGAAGAACAAATCAGTCACGATGCGAGGGCCAAGCACTGTAGGCACGGCACCGAAGAAGCCGGCAAAGAGCCGGGACATCACGTATGCGATATAGTTGCCAGGATCAGTCATAACAGCCCCCCAGATCTGGCATACTAGCGTGAATAGCACACACCAGAATATCACGGAACTGCGACCGAGCATGTGAGATATCGGGGCGAAGAAGAATGGGCCCGCGGCCATGCCGGCTAGGGCGGCTGAATTCTGGGGGATATTAGATGGGGTGATACTAAATTTGATAACCGTACAAAGTTCGAAATCTTGGCTTAAATGGAGTTGTAGACGTACTGCGTAGGACTCTTCCAGCTTGGTCTTGTTATACAGCTTCTCCTGATCAGCTAGATTGAGCTGTGCTGATAAAGCCGCAGTAGCGCCGGAAAAAGATGCGAGGCATAACACGGCCAGTATTACATATTTGCGGGTAAGGGGCCAATTCTGGAACGATCTCATCAGTTCATTTTCAGGGATAATGATGCTCGAGGGTCTGCCGCCATACCAGAGGGTCCCGGGGGTGGGCACTAGGTTGGGGGATCAGGACAAGTTGAGCTGTATGGTGCTTTTCCACTGGGGGCAAAGGGGAAGGGGATGCTTTGACATCCAGTACTTCTTTGTGGTCCATAGCTGAATTATATTGCGTCGTCAGATCCTGTATAGTGACCAAGTACCTCTCCCTAGAGCTGAAGTTTGTGGCTATCCCTTGCGTCGACGTCTCCTTTTTTTCCCCCAGACCTGGGACACAAGATACCTTGGCGGGCTAGATTGAAAGCTTTAATTTCGCCAAGCTTTTTTGCCGATATCTTGTACGAGCAGAGGAAAGCTTGCGTGGGGACGTGTCAGCTTGGCCCTGGGGTCGGTTGTAGGGTGTTTGGTGTGTGACATGGAGGATGCATATAAAACACGGGAATCATTTCTAACATCTTCCACACCTAGAACACACTGTGAGGGATTGCACTGAACAGACCGTCTTGAATTTTGTGTGTTGTCAAATGGATGCTGAAATGGACAGTAAGAAAATGGAGGCCTGATATTTCAGGTAGCTAAATCCACAAATGGCGCTTTAATATCAAACTCACACGGTCACTATCATTGAGATTATCCCTGTTATCCCTGATTATTTTGCCATGTCTCACATCTTCATAAGCAAAATGAAGCAATCGGCCACCCACGCCGACCGTCCTATCCGATCCACATCAGAGAAAAACGCTCCACGCGAGAAAAAACCAGGCTTCGGCAATAGCTTCAACATGCCGAGGGGCCTTTCATACAAGATGTCCACTGAATCCTGTTGGATTATTTTCTATGCACATCATTTCACTGCTTTAGAGATGCGAAAATCATAAATCAATCTTTTACATCGACTATATACCATCTAATTCCATCTAACGACCAATCATGGAATCCAGACCAGATCTCGAGTCCCAAAAACCAACCCCGCAGGTCGATTCTCCTCACGACTCGGAATCAGAAGATGACCTCGCCCTAAAACCCCAGGCCTCGAATGCCTATGGCATCCCAACGTGGCGCAAATGCCTCATCCTCTTTGTCGTCAGCTGGATGACCTTGGCTGTCACATTCTCCAGTACTTCACTATTGCCCGCAATCCCGGAGATCGCTACCGAGTTTTCTACTACATCGGAGATTCTGAATGTCACTAATGCTGGTGTGCTGATTGCCATGGGCTTCTCCTCTTTTATTTGGGGCCCACTCACCCACTTATTCGGGCGTCGCAATGCCTATAATGCAGCTATCCTTGTGCTTTGTGCATGCTCGGCCGGTACCGCCGCAGCGATCAATTTGCACATGTTTATCGCAATGCGTATTTTGGGAGGCTTCACGGGTACCTTCTTCATGGTTGCTGGGCAGACTATTCTTGCGGATATCTTTGAACCGGTATGTTGGCTTGATTTCGATTGTCTTCTGGTTACTGACAGGAATTGATAGACTGTGCGTGGAACAGCTATAGGCTGCTTCATGGTTGGATCTGTCAGTGGGCCTGCAATTGGTATGTTAAAGTTTACCATTATATCTATGCGTGTCATTGGATCTAGGTGGCTAACTGTTTAATTAGGGCCTTGTATCGGCGGCATCATTGTCACGTTTTCTCAGTGGCGCATTATCTACTGGCTCCAATTTGCGATGACTTTACTCGGCCTCGTCTTGTCTCTTCTTTTTGTGCCAAGTATCCAAGAAAAGAACCGGGTCATAGACTCCGACAAACCCTGGAAGCTTTACACTGTCATAAGCATGTTCAATCCCTTGCGCATCTTTCGTCAATTCGTGTATCCCAACATCTTTCTTGCAGTAAGCATTGTCTGCCAGTACTAAAATTGTGTGACTGACTAACAAGTAACAGTGCCTCACATGTGGCCTTCTTTCTACATTCCAATATGCACTTCTCACATCAGCCCGCTCAATTTTCAATCCACGTTTCAACCTGACGACTCCACTCGTCAGCGGTCTATTCTATCTCTCCCCTGGAATAGGCTTTTTGATTGGTAGCGTCGTTGGCGGCAGGCTGTCCGACCATGCCGTGAAGAAATGGATTCTTAAACGAAACGGGGTGCGCCTACCTCAGGATCGACTGAACAGTGGCCTTGCAACCCTTTTTGGGGTCCTCCCAATTGCAACCTTAATCTACTGCTGGACCTTACAGGAAGAAGTGGGCGGTATGGTTGTGCCAATTATCGCCGCTTTCTTTGCAGGTGTAGGGCTTCTGGGTGCTTTCAACGGGCTGAATACTTATTCGGCTGGTGAGTGTTGTCTGTTTAATACATTACGTATTCCCGATTTAACAATATATCTTGCAGAGGTTATGCCGCATGTTCGTTCGGAGGTCATCAGCGCAAAGTATGTGGTGCAGTATATCTTTGCTGCCGCAGCGACGGCAGCTGTTGAGCCAGTAATCAGTGCTATCGGAGTAGGATGGACATTTACAATCTGTGAGTTTCCCAATAATATCATGATTGAACCATATCTAACAACCTACTCAGGCGTATTTTTCGCTATACTAAGTGGTTTCCTTGTGCTTGCTATCACAAGATGGGGCATTGATATGCAGCGATGGTCTGAAAGGAAGTTCAGCCTCGATGCGAAGTCTTGATCACAACGATATGACGCTTTTCTTCCCACTTGCATTTATGTTTTTGCATCATAGGCGATATGAAATGCCTGCATGATAGAGTTGGTTTATAGATCGCGATAGACATGACTCAATCATTGTGAATAATAATAGAGTTTGATAACATAGTCTTTTGCCATACGGAGACACCAAAAGGAGAAATTTTAAACCATTTCAAGACACATCATTTATTCCTACTTGGGTATACATTATATTATGCTCACCTGGGCAGACCTCAAGATTCCAGGGTAGCCCAGCAAGTCGATTAGTCAGTTCCAACTCGGCCAAACCCCGAACTTGCCGAATGCTCGGGAAAGACTTTCCATATCTCCGACCGCATGCAAGTTTCTTTTTTGCGCAATTTGAAAAGCCCGAAAAATAAAGGATTTGTCAATATGGCACGAAAAAGGCGTGCTCTTACACAAGATCAAGAGCAGGAAGGTCGGGACTCCCAAAGAAGGAAATTTGTTGCGTGCGTATTCCAGACACTTCAAGCCGAAGCCACCGACCACTGATGCACATTAATAGCTGTCAAAGATGCCACTCGCATAAAATCAAGTGTTCCGGAGATCAGCCGTGTAGCAAATGCCACGCGGTGGGACTCGCTGATGAATGTGCATATGCTACTCGAGATCGCCAGGTGAAAGTTAGTGAGAAGTATGCAAGCCAAGCCACAAAATATTATTAGACCAAGCCTTTCAAAAGCTTGTTCATCACACATGTCAGACCAGAAGCTAAACTAGTCTTCTCCAATCAGCTATCTAGATCAGATCCTTGCAGAGAATCAGCGGCTCAAGGAGCGGTCGATCACTTCGGCTCAAGTTGCCGAGACCAACGACCCCTCGCAGAGGTAGGCATCCCTTGACTTTCCAAACATGACCCGCAACATACTAAGGTGTAAAACAGACGCCCTTCCAGAACAGCAGATGTCCCTGATGGAACAGGCATACAGAATCCATTGATTGGAGATCGAGCCTGGTTCCACCGATATGATCCCTCTTCGCCACCCATCTACATCGGCGAGGCAGCATGTTCAGCATTCGCAACACGGTTTCGCCGTTTCTTGTCAGGGAATAGTGCAATGCCACATATTCCCCGAACACAGTACGAGCGTGAAGAGACAATCACCGCAGCGAATGAAGCCGATATCCAGTGGCCGAGTCTTCACCATGCTCGGTTGTTAGTCCGGATAGCAATCCACCAGATTGGGCATCTGTACCACCTCATGATGCGCAAGTCAACATTAGATAAGCTGGAAGAGATTTACCAGACACAAGACTTTGACTGCACGGCCAGCAAGTGTAAGTTCTTCGCCCTGTTCGCCTTCGGACAGGCGTATTCAATCCGATCCGAGCCCAATTCTGGCTCCAGGGTGCCAGGCACGTCATACTTTGCTCGATCAATGGGATTGGTCCAGATGCTGCCGGAGAGAACCAGTGTTACACATTTGGAAACTCTGCTATTGTTGGTATGTGGCTCAGCATGTACTATTGTTCGACATCAGGAAACTTACCATATCCCAAGTCTCTTTTTTCATACTATCTCAATCGGCGTCATTCAGCGTACATCCTGATCGGAAACGCCATGCGGATGGGTTTGACTATCGGCTTGAACCACAATATCCCAGAATCACAGCTCATCGACCCAGTAGAACGCCAACACCGCATCCAAATATGGTGGACAATCTACATCTTCGATCGGATGTGGGGCTCCAAAATGGGTCTCCCGATGCAAATCCTCGATGAAGATATCCACGTCGACATGCCATCGACCATCTCCCCCGCTGGCGCCACGAAGAAGAACTCTCCGACTCAGAATACATGACGGCCAACATCAAGCTGGCACGCATAGTCGGCGAGACAATCACCAGACTATACAGCCGGCGAAAGTACCAAGAGACCTTCCTCCAGCGCGTTCAGAAACTCCTCAAAGCCCTGAAACACTGGGTTGAGACGCTACCTGAATCACTTAGGCTAAACATGGAAGATCTGGAATCGAGCAAGAAACCCATCGTCTCCCTCCATATGGCCTTCAATCAATGCGTGATCTTAACTACGCGCCCGACTCTACTACACCTCCTGATGACACTAAGCAAAAAGAACAAATCCCACCCCAACGCTGTCAATAATACCAGCAAGATCGGGATCGGGATCCGGACCGAAAACGAAGACGAAGACGTATCAGTCTCCCAGCCCGTCCTTACTCTAAGCGAAGCATGTATCCATGCAGCGCGACACTCTCATTCGATGATCCTGACACGGTGGATCAACGGATCCATGCCGACTTTTGGCTATTTTCACGCCCACTACCTCTTTTCCTCGGCGTTGATCTTGGCAATGTCCAGCTTTGTCCCGATCGGCAGTCCGACGGATATGACGGGGTTCGACTCAGCGCTAGATCTGTTACGCTCCATGACCGAGAACGGAAATCTGGCTGCGGCGGAATTTTATCATAACCTCGAGCAGGTGAAGGTCTGTTTGGCTGCGTATCGGGGAGTGAGGCGAGGCGAGGGGAGTAATGAGTTGGCTGCTAGTGGGGGAGTGGCGCTTAATACCAACGCTAATGCTAGTGGTCATGTTCCTTCTGGCGTCGGTGCACAAGCGTCTGGGCCTTCGTCGGATTTAGCAACAGCTACCTCTCCATTTTTGGACACCTTGCCACTGAACCCATCGACATCTATACCCCAACCGTCGTTACCGCCGACAACACATGATATTCTTGCTTCTACCACTACCCAGCCTGTCCACAGTCATGGCATCGATGCATATGCCTATCCATTGAGGGATAGCGTCAGCGGGTACACGACCGAGATGGCGTTTTTAGAGCCGACCATGCAGGATTTCTTGGCGCAGTCAGATATCGACCTTGGGCTGTTGCATCCTGTTGATACGTTTTTCAACGAGGCGGAGAATTTATATACATGTCATGAGATTTGATCGGGTTGGCCACGGCAAATGAGATATTCATAATGATATGCCCCTTGTAGGGTTGGTTGTTCTGATCTGAATTGTGTTGACAAGTGACTCGACCCCATAATGCCTGGAGGTATCCAGGTAAAGACACTCTATCGTGTGTGCCAGAGAAAGATGCTTGCGAACAAATGTAAGAGGGCAATTTTAGGAAAGACAAAAAATGGTTGATATAAGACACAACCAGCTTAGCGAAAAGCATTGAAGATAAACCGAAATCATAATTGAGACATCACATGAAAATGCATTTTCAGCGTCCTAAGGGACACGTGATAGATAGAACAGGCTGCATGGTATATGTCGTTAAAGCCAGCGAGTAAAAGCAGATAAATCGCTCAATACCACTTCCCCCCCCCACCAATAAATCTGGGGTATAGATCAAACTCCCATAACCACATGAGACGAGTTGAAAAATGCGTGTGCCTAGAGTTCGGTGTCAACACCGAAACCAAACTTCGAACCATGCCGTGAAAGAAGGTCCATGCAGATAAGCCAAGCTCGCTGCGAAGAAAGGTCTTTGGCCGACATCTCCTCCAACCAGCGAGTTGCTTTGTTGATCTTCTTGGTGATATACACAGCCTTGGTGGTGCCTATATGAGTGCGCGTGAACAGCTCGGTGAGGAGGATGGTAGTCGACTGTATGATGTTGTGCAGGATGCACCACCATGGAGCGACGCCATACAGCCAAGTCAAGTCTGGCTCCTCGGGCAGCAATTCGAGTATTTGATCTGCCATCTGAACGCACAAGGCTGCCATATGGTCACACACCGTTCCCGAAGAGCTTGCTTCAGAGGACTGGGATAGACGGCGGATACAGGGCTGCAAGATTATCAGCTTGGTGGCGTAGAATCGGAAAGCAAGACTAGCACGCTGGTGTAAAAATTGATGAGTTGTGTCTGCCGTTGTAAAATCAAACTCCGCCGGGAGGCGAGACAACCAGTTATCAGCATGGTTGTTTAGCGTGGAAATGGCAGTTTCAATCTCATGCCAGGACTGCCGCATTGCTCTAGGAGCATACAGGACATTAATAGCATCCCGTAGGAGATGAGCTAGGTCCACTGCATACAGAAAGTACAGAGAGGAGTTTGGTGTCACGTTCTCTGCCCACGTCTGACTAGCCCTTTCTTCTTGTTTCTCATTTCCCGACCATTGTTGTCCCAGGGTATTCACACCCTCCCTTGGTGAAGCCTCCGTGACATGGGAGATCAAAGAGGTGAAAAAGGCACTCCGGGTCCTTTGGTTGGTAATAAGTTGCACAGCACGCGTATCCCAAAAGTCCTCCTCTGCGAAGGGAACAGGGAGCGGGGTGGAGCAAAATATGTCCCCAGTACCAGGTGGACGGCCTGTCATCTCACATAGCACAATATCCAACATAAAGAGCGCCCACCAAACTCGATATCGAAGTTCTTTCGAACAGTGTGTGATGTTTTCGCTCTCGCTCCGAATGTTTAGACCCATAATCGCCGCCGATTGAATCGCCATTCCAATGAGTCTCCATGACCTAGATGAGCAGATCCCACAGATCAGAAATCAATCATGCAGAAAGAGACGAGGGAGAGGGAAACCAACCTGTTAATTTGGCCAACCGATAGGAGGTAAAAAGCAGCCAAGCCCTCCACCTGTGCCTGTTGCAAGTCGGGATGCTTTAGCAACATGTTACCTGTATTCAGCCTCCACGCCCGTGCAAAATAAGTCTGATGGGCATCGCAGTTTGCTTGGGCCTGATCGACGAGAAAAGAATGTCTGGTCGCAATGGCAAACACCAGGTTTAGCACTATAATCCATCGTTTCCCAGGTCGCACGTTCGGATTCGCATAGAAGGATCGATACTGATTCAGAAATATTGCCTTTCCAATAACCGGAAATGTAGGATGAACGACGTGAAAGTATGTGTCAACGAGCCTGTTAGCGATTTGTTGTGGAGGCCGGCGTGCGAGGTCGATATCATCGAGAACCAAAATTTCCGAGTCATCTTGGAAGTAGTTCACTGAAGAGATCGAAGGGCGTTCGGGGGTCTCTTTGGTTATTTCCAAACTGTTATGATCAAGGTCGCGTTTGAGTCTGTACAACCATGCCATCTGGGAATGTTCGCCCACAAATCCAGTTGCCTGTACTTTCTCGTCTCCGTTGAAGTCATCTTCGGTATAATCTACAGTCCCCGAGGGGATAGATATACCAGCATATGCAGGAGAAAGTACCGAATGGTTGATATGACCTGATGGGTGGGTGAATACGGCAGGGGTTTCGGTAGGGGGAATGACTTGAGTGAGCGGAGTGCGTGCATTTAGCTCCCTCAGTGTCTGCTCGACCTGCTGGGCCGACGAGACATCGAGCTTGGGATAAATATCGCGGAGCAAAGCGTCAAAAGTTTCAACACGTGTAGTTAGATCGATCAGCTGCCTATCACCCGTTAGAGAATATTGAAACCGCGAAAAGTCACGTACTTCGCCATCTTTTCCCTTTTCCGGTCGCCATACGAGCACTGGACACCGGAATCCAGGCACCGATGACAGGCTGGACGGTGGCCACTACATTTGGCCTTTTGTTCACGGCAATTTTCGCAAGCCCGACTGACTCGGCCACTGCTAATCCAACTACTAGATTGTGCGTTCCGGGGGATAGCCACCTTGGCATTCACGCGGTCGCTGTTGAATAGAGAATTATCACGGCTATCACGACCAGGAATAGTTTCGGTAAACTCGACGGGAGAAGGTTGCGGGTATCCAGGCACAGACCAGTCGTAATTGAATTCATTTTCCAGATTCGGATATTCGGAATACGGGGCAAAGTTCTCACTCATATCGCCAAATATCTTCAAAAGGGTTTGATTATCGGAATGGGTTTGAGCGAGACGCGAGCGAGACGCTAGCGGAACGTCGACTCATAGGCCACCCTAGAAGACCGCGGAAGAAGAGACCCCCACCCCCTTGCACAATAGTCAAAAAGTCAAAAAATCCCAAAAAAAATACTCAAGTAGAAGATCCCCCTACAGTGGTGGGTTTTGACCGAAATGGGGCCTTCTGGTATGCCGGCGGTCTTTGCCGGTTCGCCACTAAAAGCAGCGGTAAGACCAATAAGCGCTTGGCTTTGCATTTGGGACGGTATTTTTTTGACACGGCATGGATATTGTACTCCGTAAACCCTTTCATATTGTGAATAAGGACTGTATCGCAAGAACGGCATATGTGATATGTATGAGCCTTTCGAGGTTTTCCTTGTGTTTGAAACATCCAGAATTTCCATGCCCATAATTGCATGAAATCTGCTCTCTGATATGCCACGCGAGACTGATGTTTGCCCTGTCCCAGGGAAAATTCCCTCGTGACATTGGAGTTCCGAATCGTGTCGCCCTCTTTCGGTCTAAGAACCACCACCCTGGTTGAAGACCTGACATGATACATCATGAATCCATTTCATGATGCAACATTTTTTGGTACTCAGAACTGAATACCGTCCGCGGTGAGGTTGCCGCCTGGGTTTTCTCTCCCTTCAAGGCTCCTAGAAAGGTTTGAACTAGGGTCGTCGCTGTGCTTTCAGACCCCAGAAACACGAAAGCTTATAACAGGGCTTCCCTGAGTCAAACGTTCAATGCTTTTTTTTCAATCACATCGTCTTCTTGCCCTTCCAATTTACCTCTGTTTGGGTGGGTCGGTACTCGTTCGACACCAAAATGGAAGACCCACCGATGCCAGCAGGATCATTCATACACCTGAGGCAAGCAAGACAACAAATCATCACGAACCCATTTATAGAAGTTTCTTTTGTTGGATTTCCGGGTCTCTTGTACCAATAGGTCAGCAGGTCGTGTTTGACTGCGCGATCAGTTTCTGTGGACATTCGGGCAGCTGCATGTCTGCAGCATCGCTAGCACCGCCTATGAGCTGTGGGGCATTTTGAGAACCAGAACTCTGCATTGGACATTTAAACTCAGATATCACTGTAAGTCTGGGGAGAGGTGCCGTAATGTGACCGTGATATGAAGTCGTGGTGCCCAGACCCCATTGCAATATGTACTCAAAACTGGTGCATGTGACTGAGCCATACAGTGTTTCCACGAGGCTACGAGAGTGGCTCTAATACCCCGAGGGCATGTTGGAAGTATGGACGAATCTGCAATCTTGCTGGACAAGGGTCAACCCGTGAGTGCGCCACCCGGTTACATCACCGAGGGCTTAGGTGCATGAAGTAAGAAAAGAGCCATTGTCATGAGCAATGACTTGAAAACAGAATGAGAGGGGAGTTCTTACTTGCATGAGAAAAGTCTGACTATTAATCGCGGTTAGGCGATTTCGGTTAATTTTGACGCGCTCCGCAGTCCCATAGTTTCACGACACTGACAGTTGCCGTGATATGCACCAGTGCATGGATCTGGACATCAACGACAAACTCTGACCATCGAGTATGAAGCATCCTCAAGACATTCCAATTGGGTACTAGCAGTTGTAATTTCGAATCTTCAAGGTGCTCTGGGATGCGAAGATAGGGATGGACTTGGGAGCAATGCGCCCGTTGCTCTTGCTTTTTTTTGTGAGTGCAACACGCAAAATTTCACAATCGTTCGGTGCTCATTTTTCTAAGGAACCCCTAGGGATCAATTGAAACAAACCAAGATCTCTATTAAGTAACGAAGAGTGTTGTTCAGATTGGGTTTGGGAAACGATGGACATGGGCCACCCGGAAATCAACTCCGCATGGTATGGAACCAATTAGGTATACTCGACGGGTCCTTTTGAAGAGACCAATATCGTTCTCCGCCCTGTGGTTGGGCAAAATTCGAATTTTCGATCTAAGCCGATCAATGGCGTGGACAATCTTGTGGAGGAAATTCAGCCACCTACGTCTTTGGTCTGCCTTTAATCTACTCAACTTGATTACGACCAACAACTAATAAGACAATCGCTTGCCATTCCTCTGTGGTAGCAATGGAGAGAGCCATGCCAAAAACAAGAATGAGACTATTGGCTTAT